TCTCCGCGCTCTCAACTGGCTCCCCATTGCCAGTAGGGTCACATACAAGACCGCCTGCCTCTGCCACAATGCCTTCATATCCGCCTGCCCGCCATATCTTTCTTCATTACTGACAACTTGCAGCTCAGCACACGGCAGATGCCTGCGCAGCGCGACTCACGACCTCCTCTCAATACCAAGATCCAGGATGGTCATGTCTACGCGCCGCTTCTCGGTGGCAGCCCCAACAGTCTGGAACGATATCCCTCTGCACATTCGCAGCATCACCTCAATCGCCTCCTTCAAGAGACACTTAAAAACTCACCTCTACAATCATGCTTTTGAGCGACTCTGAGCTTGGCTCCACGCCTCTGAGTTGCGGCCACTACGTCTGCAAATTTGCGCGCGTTACAAATTGTATTATTATTATTACTTGTGGAATGCGTAATGGAAAACACTTAAATGTTGAACGTTATATTTTACCTGCTGCAACGAACGGCAGAGCGATTGTTTTCTATTGATATATTATACACTATACAAAATTTGATTTGTCATTAAATACATTTCCTGCAATGCACTCTCGCCAGCCCCTTGATGTGCTCTTCCGACTCTCAAATCTCAACGTTTTCATTGCCCCGTTGTGTTTTAATATATTCCAATTCAATTCCACATCACCCGCAATGCAATGCGTGAGTTGTGTGTGCTGTAAAACTGGCCCAATGAGAACATTTCTCCTTACCTACTACTCCCGTTCTGTTTTGGTCATCATCATCATCAGCCATTGTCTATCCACTGTGAGATGAAGCCCATCCCAAATACATTTCTATTTAAAGCTTTCGTGACTGCAGGGATTCATCTTCTTGGTTTTTTCGGTAAAGTCACGTAGAATGGAAATAATAAAATAATAAAAATAAAACATTATCAAATTATTCTCACGACGTTTCGGCCACAACGCATTCAGACGCTGTCTTCTCGACAGACCTGTTCTTCACCTGAGGACGGCTGCTTGCGTTGTGGCCGAAACGTCGTGAGAATTATTTTATTATGTTTTATTTTTATTATTTTATTAGTTCCCTTCTACGTGACTTTACCGAAAGAACCAAGAAGACCATCCCAAATAGTCACCATAGACTGTTTGGGCAAGTGCCGTCAGCAAACACCTATGAAGTTCACGGCACACGAGGGGGTAACCACCTCGCCATCACCACGCCGCAGCCGCCTTTGCCACCCCAGTGGCGATGTTCCCACAACGCTCCAGTTACTCATTTGAGGCCGAGTCGACCTAGGCGAGGCCAAGGACCGCGCAGCGTGCTTCAGATCCGAGGTGGACTTCCTCTCGTGGCGCGTTCCGTCCTTTGACTGCCACTCCGTTGTTTGTCTCCACCATCGTCCCGTCGAGTGACCTCCCTGGGCTTCTTTTTCACACTTTACAGGTTGAGTTCCATTTTATTTTTCAATGCGCACGTTTCCGATCCACGTTGCAGCAAATCATGTACAGGTTAAAACCTCTCTTATTTTCGCATATTGCTTTTTCATTAAGTTCAGTTTTCCATAAGCACTCCAACCCGTTTTAATCCTTATTTTCAGTTTTTACTGAACATTTTCGATTGGTTGTTTGGAAATTATAATGATATTTTCTTTTTAACAAATCCCTGCATATGTATACGTAATTATTATACTGATTATGCGCACTGGTTTGTTGTATTTGTTTTATATTTATTGTTGAGGCGTTGCTATCTGTATGTTATTTGACATGAAATAATGATGTCAGTTTGTATTATTATTAAACTTTCTTTGGTGGATTGTGATCACCGGACTGAAAGAGTGAAAGCTTGGAGGAGGCTTCACCAAGCAGTGGATTGATCATGACTACTGCTGATGATAATACATTTTATTTACTTATTTCGTGAATTGCTTTATTTCCCAGGTATCCATTTAAAAACAAGAAGACATTTGGTCTCATAGTGCTCTCATACGATTCAAATAAAGCATGCAATTGTACATTTATACCAATATTTGATTGCCTTACTTGGATTTCAATCAAATCTCGTGTTGACAATTTGAGAAATGCGTTTAATGAACTCATTATGAACATGGCATTTTAAAAAAAGATAAGCGGTAGTCTCACTGTTAACAATCTACGCATTTTCATTTTTGCAGTCCAACGCATTCATATATTACATATTCCTACCCTACTGGAATACATCTAAGATATCAATCTAGGTGTGGGAGGGAGGAATGCATTTTCGAAGATCTACTTTGGGAACCTTTGCTCACAGAGTTATATATTTTTTAACAAACCTAAATGGAACGCACGTTTGATGTACAATCGGTGCGACAAGTTGTAACGGTTTACACACACACACATATATATATCGGTACGCTTGTAATATTTTATTTAAATAATCTTAGGTTTTTTTCGGTAAAGTCACGTAGGTAAAAATTTTAAATTAATAAAAGTAAAATAAATAAAAATTACGCCGTTTCGGAAGCAACGCAAGCCTCCGTCTTCATGTTTGTGTTGCTTCCGAAACGTCGTGATTTTTTATTTTGTTTAATTTTACTTTTATTAATTTAAATTTTTTACATACGTGACTTTACCGAAAAAACCTAAGCATATGAATCCTTGCAGTCACGAAAGCTTCAAATCTATTTTATTTTTTATTGTTTTATTTTACTTTTATTAATTTAAATTTTTTACCTACGTGACTTTACCGAAAAAACCTAAGCATATGAATCCTTGCAGTCACGAAAGCTTCAAATCTATTTTATTTAAACCTTGTCGGCATTGCGAAGCAAAGATGCAGTCGCAGCAAATAACATGGGCCCATTGTGGGGGAGGTGGGGAGCGGGTTGTATGGGAAGGATCGCGTAACAGACAAGCCGAGGAGAGGAACAAAAGGTTTGATGAAGAGAGCGTCGCGACGTCGCACGAAAGATTCACGCAATTCCTCTTGGTAGCAAAGCAAAAGCCTCCGACTGCAACGCCTTGCAGCGGTTTGGCCGCGGCGTGCGGAGTCAGAAGGCCCCCTGCTGGAAAGGCCGCCACCGGAGTGGACATTCGGCGTTGCGGCATTTTTACGTTGCACGCACGTTCAACTTTCTCTGCACCGTACGTAAGCTAACCCGCGCTAAGCGAAAGACCAGGTTGCCATAGGCTATGTGGGGCTACGTGTTGGGCAGTATCTATGTTCTAGATTTGAAGCTTTCGTGACTGCAAGGATTCATACTTTTAGTTCTTTCGGTAAAGTCACGTAGGTAAAAAATGAAATTGAAATTAATAAAATAAAAATCACGACGTTTCGGAGGCAACACAAGTCTCCGTCATCAGGTGGGACCGTCACAGCCAAATTTGCTGCATCAAGTGAGGCAGCTCCCACCCCCTCTCCTCCCCCTTAACTTGTATTTATTTAAGAGCTTGCATCTTGAATCCTTGCCTCACTTGATGCAGCAAATCTGGCTGTGACGGTCCCACTTGATGACGGAGACTTGTGTTGCCTCCGAAACGTCGTGATTTTTATTTTATTAATTTTTATTTCATTTTTTACCTACGTGACTTTACCGAAAGAACTAAGAGTATAAGTATCCATGTTGAACTTCATTCGCTTCGTACGTAGCCAACCGTGCTCATCGGGAGGTACTGGTGGGGGGTAATAAACGAAACACGTGTGGTGGGGTAAAGAGTGGGTAATAACACATCTTCCAAGACGTCTGGTCTGCGTTTAAGAGTATAGGCCAACGTACACTCGACAGAGCGGGGCTCTATAGAGCTCCCTCTAGTGGAGGCCCTTCTGCCGGCAGTGGTGCGAGACATTGCATCGCTGCAGCTTTATCTTTTATGAAAAAAAAACCTCGGTACAATGTCTCAACACGCGCGGCAGTGGGTCCGACTATCCCACCGATGCCCTTCCATGGCACAGCAACCCCTGTAGCCATCAGTGCCTGGATCTGGCTTGCCCAGTCAACAAGGCTTTCCATATTGAGGGTGTACTTAGCAAAATCCCTGCTCTCCCACTACAAAGCCCTCCAATTAAGGCTGTTTGGATGGGAAGATAACCACTCAACTATTAGTGGTGGCGAGATGTTAATTATTTTACCTGGTATACAGAACAGGGTTCAATTCCGACCCTAACACCTATTTATTTGGAGTATCTCTCCCCGTGGTCGCGTGGATTTTTCTCCGGGTCCTCTGGTTTTGCCCTCCAAATTTCGAATCAACGTGCGTTTCAAGTATTTTGTTGCTGATATAAATGTCCACATAAGCCACTTCGTTGAGACATCTTACGTGGCCAGGGCACTTCTAAAAAAGACTTAAAGCTCAGTGGGCCTGACCTGGTCAAATAAAAGTTAGCTAGATAAGTGGTCTCACTCCTTTTCAACACATGTACGTACATAGCTTGCAGAGTATTGGTATAAAAGTATTTGCGTACTCAATTTCGATTTAAAGCTTTCGTGACTGCAGGGATTCATCTTCTTGGTTCTTTCGGTAAAGTCACGTAGAAGGGAAATAATAAAATATAACATAATAAAATAATTCTCATGACGTTTCGGCCACAACGCAAGCAGCCGTCCTCAGGTGAAGAACAGGCATGTCGGAAAGATAGCGTCTGAATGAAAACCACCAGGCTTGGCAGCGTATATTTAAGCTGGGTTGGAGGGGGACTTTACCGAAAGAACCAAGAAGATATTTGCGTACTGGTAAACTGTTTCATGGAATCCAACAGCAATGCACTTGCATAAACACGTTTGATGCATTTTTTTCCATGTATAGATTTTTAAGCGTGTAATCTTCCGTAAAATACAATTCGATTTACAAATATTTACCCTGGCAGTACAAAGTGAAATCGTCATTAGTGAAGGAATGCAGTTAAGCAATGCAATGCACTCCTCACAGGGAAGGGTGCATAACCACATTTGCCACTCTTATTAAATCGTGATGTGGAACAGGTTTTGGCCAATTACATTGATCAGATTTACACATCCAATAAGCAGTAGTAACATTCAAAATAAAGCCACGAGGAAATGTTTTGCCTTTGTTTATTGAGAGAATACAGAATATTTAAAAACATATACAGTATTGCAAAACAAAGCTCACATTTTATGCTCAATTAAGCAAAGTAACAGTGCAAGAATTACCCAAAACAGAACCACCCTTCGTGTTTGTTAACTTTTGATTACCTCCAAACAAGTCAAGGCTCCTGCAAGCAAGCAAGCTTGACATTTAAATCAGGATCAAATGATATGCAAGATTTATGAAGACACAAAAAATTCGACACAATAAAACAAAACTTTTTTTATACGCACATGGAGAAAAGAGATTTAAGATATTTAAAACAATTATACGGAACCTGACGATGTGGAAGGTTGCTTGTGAGTGTGGATGTCAGTAAAAAAAATGCATCATTATGGAGCCAAACGGTGGACATTCGATTTCTTTGTATGTCACTAAAACTCCATAGATATGTAAAACCAGAAGGAATAATCTGAAGGAAAAAAAAACATTTGAAGTGGAATTTGTGCTTAATATACATATTAAAATGCCACATTAAAAACACATCTTGAAAATAAGAAAGTCAAAGAAAACCTTAGACCCAACCAACTCAAGCCAAAATTAATCTACTCTCAAAATTGTCCAGCACTGTCCCTATATTCACATTTTGTATTTCGGAATTAAACATCAACTACTGCTTAGTTTGTTATAAGCACGCACATCAAAGCACATTTGAATTCATTAAAGGTGTGAATGTCTTTCTACATTTGCGTATTTTCTGTTATCACTGCAGAAGCGCAAATGTTCTAAAATATGTGTAGATTTATGTTAGCTTCAATGCCAGTTGCCAGAATGGGAAAATACATTGTTTAAACCAAGAACATTAACCCTTAAAGTTAATTCTTCAAATGGCAAGCGAATAACCGAAGTGTGCTCACTATTTACATGCAAATCCTACCATGCAATCACGACACAAATAATAAAGCCGCCAACGTTCAACTCACTTAAATCGGCTCAAAAAAATTGGCTTACTTTTATCGTCACTATGTTTTCTCTATCAATTCACAATGTTGCGTTGCTAGATTAAACCCCGAATTTATTGTTTTCTGGTAGTAAAATAGTATATGATGAAAAACATTTACCTGGACCATACTGCATAGAATGTGTGGTCTCGTGTTAAACTTATAAGATGGAAACTTTAAAATGTACCAGACATGAACCATCGCTGTACGAATGCTTCTAACTGTATGTTGACATATCTAACATTCCTTTCAAAAGCGGAATATTACAAAAATATACATGTCGCATACGCCCCGTTAAATCAATGAGCCAAAAGAAAAGGCGGCCTCTTATCAAGTCATGGGCTTTGAAATTGGTCACCAAAAACTCGTTGGTTATGCAATTCTCAACAAAAACGTCAAACTTTCAGGGAAGAACGCAGCTTTAATGGCACAAACCACTACAGGCAAAGTGCACAATTTTGGCGTTGGACATTTCCAGCCACTCAAAATATTTGATTACATTTTTTGTTAAAACTATATTGGTACTGCAATTCCATGACTTTCTGAGGATTTATTAATGAATTACCACCTGTGTAATACATTTCGTCCAGCCAATTAATGGAATTACAGATAAGGCATATAATAAAACTGAACTAAATTCCGTTTTACAGGAAATCTCTTCCTTTGACAATATTTTGATTTACCGAATAAAATAAAATAAAAAAAATCCAGCACAATGTCGCATATCCCACTATCACATATTTTCCCTCTCACCACAATGAACTGCCCACACCCAGTGTAATATTTGTGCATATGGTGTAACTGTCATGTTCTATATTTGGTTATATAGCCGACGTTTTTCACTTAGAAATATGCGACATTGTACCCCGTCACCATCAGCTTCTGCTCGCTGACATTTAAATCACATGAACAGAAATCCTCCCGTCACAACACCAAAACTGCATTCCACTCCAGTAAGTTTGTTTTTTACCAGGTAAAACAGACCTTAAAAACAAAACGTAAGATTATGGGTATACTATGCTCGACAACCAGATGAATGCATGTGGTTTACAACATTCCTGAGAATGAAATTATACAAATATCAAACCCAAAAGTGGACTCCCATATAGCCACACATTTTAATAGGTACCATAAAAGCAAATTGCTTATAACATGTGATCCAACTTTTTTTTCTCGCCATTTTATATTTTGTGAACAATCTGGCCAAATTGTCTTAACAAATAATTGAACCCCACCCCCACCCCTTAACCGAAGCAAAGCATGGACCCTTAAACGTATTATCACATATTCAACACACAGTTACTTAACAGTGTTTGCGCAACATTTGAGAAGTACAGAGGGGAGTGCTCGTCTTTAAAAGTGTAAACAGCGGAGCATATCGCACACAATGCTTTCACACAGCAAAGAAAGCACTTCTGTGAGTAGCGGCTGATGCATCAGGTACCTGCACCTTGTCACGAGGCATTGCAGAAAAAAATCTAATTGGGTGTCGTAAAGATGAAGTACCAACGAGGCCCAGAAATAAAGCTGCTAAAAAAAACCACAAGAGGCTTGCCAAACTTTGGGGGAAAGAGGAAGAAAAAAATCAACTGCAAAGTAACTTAAAATTCACTTTTGACCAGCAATATGTTACAATGTGAGAAAAAGTGCAATTTTGGCATGTTTAATTTTTGACGCCTTTTCAAAAATAAATCTTCCCACAACTAAACGGGCAACCACACACAGCATGACGCCTCAAGCAATTACAAGCGGTTCATCGTCCGAGAAGCCCTGAATCATCGGCACATCTTCATCTTCGTCCCCTGAAAAAAAGAAAATGTTTGGTTAGATTTCAGGATTATCTTTATGATATTTTACTTTTGCTGGACTGTTTGTTGGCAACTCCTCCATTTTTCTCCGTAACCCAAGTCCCTTATTGAAAAAGAGACTTTTAGCCCGAATGTTTTTTTTAGCCAGTTCACCAATAAAGGTAACAACGATGACATTTCAACGTGGAAAACAATACTCACTTGGACCACACATATACCTCTAGCAGCAGAGTTATGGGCGCACGATTGAAACATTGTAAACTTAACAGCCACCTAACAACCAATAACGCTTGATTAAGCCTGTGCATAATAATGTGTATATTCTAGGCAATACATTTGCACGTGTAAAATTCACCCCATGTACAGTACTGCGTCGTACAGAGATAGCTTTCAAGTCAGAAAATAGAACTGGGAAAATGTAGGTCACTGAGGACTTATATAAGCCGACTCAGTAATGAAGGTGATAGTGGGGGTCACAGAACCATATCCAGCCAAAATGTTTGCCAAGTGCTGGTGTTGACACTGCACCAGAGGTACTCAATGTAATATCAGTTGAAACGAAGGCAAGTTCCAGGCTGGTCTCACATACCAATGGTCACTTAATGTTTGTGGCTTGATATTAGATAACAGGACGCAAATATCGTAGTAGCAATGGACATTGACCAAAACACCACCGCTATACATAGACTATCAATGCACCGCATGGCCGAATGAATGTATGCGTACGTATATGTGCTTACATGAGACAATTGATATCTATGTAAATAAGCAAAGCGCACATGAACAAACAGAAACTTTATAGCTACGAGTTACAGTAAGAATAAATAACTGTTCTCTCCTCAGTGGAATTAATCTTCCGATGCCAACTTCAAAAGATTTTGTACTGAAGTAAAAGCTGTTATTTGGAGCCCGTGTCAGGTGCCTGCATCGATTCCATCAATGAAAGCCGGCCACCCTGCCTGAAGGACCCTTCCCCCTGCAATCCGTACCGTCAACTCCCTGTCTAAATCTAAGCTCAAGACCTTCCTTTGTACTTCGGCCGATAAACGACTGCTTCTACAAAACAAATATATGCACCGTCTCTGTACAACATTTTATTTATCCGGATATGGACAGTGAGAATTTGTTTAGCATGACGCTGCAGCGTGTAAATGGACTAACCACTTCAACTTTTTTTTCTTGGTTCTTTCGGTAAAGTCACGTAGAAAGAATTTAATAAAATAATAAAAATAAAACATAATAAAATAATTCTCAAGACGTCAAGGAGACAGAATCTGAATTCTGTCTCCTTGACAGACCTGTTCTTCACCTGAAGACGGCTACTTGCGTTGTGGCCGAAAGCTTTAAATCGACACTTCAACTTTGTCTAAGCGTGTGTCATTGGCCACATCTAGGTGGTACCAAGGGCCGCCACTTTGTGCCATGCACGAGCATTACCGCGATGGTCTCCAACGAGATTCAGCGGTGAACGGGACCCACCCTGCAACTTGCAGACGTCTCGAAACGGGAAAGGGCTAACGCTGTCCTCTACCCCCAAACTCGCTAGCACCCGGGGGCCACCGGCCAGCCGTTTGGCAAAGCAGAGGCACCTCACGGGGGATGGACCATCAGCATTTCCCTTCTTTGGAGAACCCTGCAGAACTGGGTTCACCATCTTTTTCTTAGGAAGCAATGACCCAACCTCACAAGGGTATCGACGAGTGCACGGCAGGATTACTAACCGTACAAAAAACTATTTATCTTTTTATTTTACCAGGTAAGGCCCACCGAGCTATATTGCTCTTTTTTTCAGAAGTGACCTGGCCACAGATGGTAGGCCAACAAAGTGGCTGATCATGTGGAAATGTACAGCAGCCAAATATTCTAAATTAATGTTGATTCTAAACGTGGAGGGAAAACCCGGGAGGACCTGGAGAAAAATCCACGTGACCACGGGGAGAACATACAAACTCCAAATATACATCAGTCGGGATTTAACCTACGACCTCCTGTATACCTAGTGAGGTAGTTACGTGTTTGCCCGCGGTGGAGAGATGTTGTTTACCCAGGAAAGGCTCACTGAGTCCCATTATTGTATTTTTCAGTCGGGTCCTTGCAAACATGAATATTCCAATCATCATTTATGGGATAATTATTTTCAAATTCAGCAAATTTAGACCATGACTCAAGCACACAATGGACTACTGTTGCGACTTAGATCACAAGATCCTTAATGTCCATTGTGAAGCAGTCAGCTCGTATATATATATAGTTTTTTATGGTTAATAAACCCGGAGTACTAACCGGGGCGGTCGATGGATTCGAACCATAAACCTATCTATCAACCTGTCGAGAGGGCTTCGGCTAGGCCAAGGGTTGGCGACCAAACTCCAAACATACAGATGTCAGGGTCAGGATCGAAGCTACGATCTCCTGCACACCAGGCGAGGCAGTTAACATCTCGTCACCACCACAACGCATAAACCCGATTGGGGGGGGTTCGAAGCAGGCGCCGGGCAAGACGAAGAGAAAAATAACCACGGCAGCGCGCTGCTGCGGGGCTACCCCACTCCTCACTTACCGAGGTCATCACCCATGGAAAAGGTGGCCGAGCCCTGGCGGGAGTTGTAGTGGCTGTTGGCGAACGCGGTGAAGCTGTTCTGCAGACGGCGGTGCCGCACGACAAAGTAGGCCATGACGCCACCCATGAGGAGCAGCACGAAGAACACCACGGGCACCACCACGGTGGCCATGTCTCTCGGCTTGGAGAAGAAAGACTCCGCTAAACAACAAGATGGGGGGGTGGGGTAGGGGGGGGGGGATTTATTGAATGGGCGACGGTAAAGCCGGGTGTCTATCGTACACTGCCGATGTTTGCAACTCTGCGTGTGCCGAACTGGTGACGACTTGCAGGTGAGTATTCACAATAATAGCAAGGGGATTCCATCCACGAATGTCAGCCGTAGCATAAATAAGTAGTTTTTATAGCACAATTTTTTTTTTATCAATCCAACTACATTTCCAAAACCGTCATTTTTAATTTCAGAAATTACGACACTTAATTTTTCTACAAAAACATGCAAAAATGTTCAGCGGAACTCCACAAGCAAAACGTAGGCAAAAATATGATCAATATTCTGCTTTGCCAAACGAGTGATGACAATTGCAAAAGCCTTCATCGTGTAACTATCGAATAAGATTTAACGAGCTTTTAAAATAAGAAATGTGTCGTTAATTTAAATGAGGCAATGTGCGGCCCTGTTACATTGCGTTGTGACACACGTGAACACCATCAACGTAAACCAAACCGGTTATGAAAATCGGGGGGCTAGAAAAATGGGTGAACGGACTTCGCTGCCCCACTGTTCACTCTTAAAACAGCAACTATTTCACAATGTCAGTGAAGCGCAGGAGACGTCGACGTTCGCGTACGTTACTTCGAACCTCTTTCGCACCGCGCGTGACCCCAAACGCGCTAATCGTAGGCGCGACAACACAGAGTGAGAGGCGCGGGGCGGACGTTGCTTCCTGGACGAGGGCAAAAGCCCCGGTGAGTGGCGGAGCCAACGCACCTGATTCGAGCATGTCGTATCTGGCGACGGCGCCGCGGCCGCACTGTTTCTTGCCCCCGCTCTGAGGGCCGCACGCCGCCTGCACCGTGAACGTGTAGTTGTGGCCCGGAAGCAGGTCCCTGACGTAGTAGTGCGTCTCGTTCGTGTTGCCCAGTCGCTTGGGTGCCGTGCTGCCGTCCACACACATGTAGACGTCGTAGCCCTGTCGGGGAGCGGGGCGGCGGTGGGGGGCGGTGAGCAACGGAGAATTTGAGATTGGGCGCTTTAACAATAATTCTCGTCGAAAATTCGCAAACGATTTTCGAAAAAGACTCATCACTTTCGATTTAAAGCTTTCGTGACTGCAGGGATTCATCTTCTTGGTTCTTTCGGTAAAGTCACGTAGAAGAGAAATAATAAAATAATAAAAATAAAACATAATAAAATAATTCTCACGACGAAGAACAGAACAGGTCAGATGCTGTCTTTCCGACAGACCTGTTTTTCACCAAGAGGACGGCTGCTTGCGTTGTGGCCGAAACATCGTGAGAATTATTTTATTATGTTTTATTTTTATTATTTTATTATTTCCCTTCTACGTGACTTTACCGAAAGAACCAAGAAGAAGACTCATCACTGTTGCGAGTCTGCGTGCGATATATCCCAACGGCTCGTAGCGCGCTTCGTATAAATAACTTAAAACCGAAATAGGAAAAGTTTTGGGAAACGTTCGTAAAGAAAGAGTGCGGCTCTGATCGTTTATTTTTTGTTCTTACCCAGTTTCTAACGAAATTGCTGTCTTGCATCGACACGTCTGCCCAAATCAAAAGTACGGTGCTGTCGTCCACGGGGATCACCTTGACGGTCTGCGGGGGAAGGATGTCGTCTGCATAAAGGGGAGAGAGGGAGGGTCAGGAAAACACACAAAAGGCCGTTCTAATTGTGCACCGATGACGGGTTAGATTTCATCCACCCCGCCCCCCCCCGTCCTTTTCATGCGTGACAAGATAAGAATAAGAGAGTAGCATCTCAGGACAACTTGAACAATTGGGAATGATATCAACATAGTTAGAGGGTGCAGTCAACCTGACAATGGTCCGATAAAGTAAAATCTGTGGTTTAAAAAAAAAATCTCCGCTCTTGCGGTCTGGTCTCAAAGGAAGATACCGTCCGCTGTAAAATCAAAGCAGCTATTGAAAGGATAAAAGTAAAAACATATCCGGAATAGACAACTTATAAAAGAAGATGCACAGATTTTAGTGTATGTGCTCTGATGGCTATGGATGTCTATGACACAGTACTGCGGGGGCGAGGGTTGGTGGTACGTGTATGTACACACGTTAAACTTATTTCACACCGTACGTAGCCAATAGTGCTAAACGGACGTCGCCATGTCCCCGTTCACCAGGATATGGCAGAACAGCAAGTGGATTAATTTCGATCTGTTTCTATCCAAAAAGGGATTGAGTATTATCCCCCCCCCCCCACCACGTAGCATCCGTAGGTTTTCTCCGTGTACTCCGGGAACCCCTCACGTTTAAAACGACACAGCGGGAGAACCTCAAAGTATCTCAAAAAGGTGTGGGGGAGGCAACAATGAAAGTGTTAAAGTCACCGGTGTCCTGACAGAATCTTTGGAATTTCTCTTCCCCATACCCCAAAAGAAATGTCCATAAGAGTGCTCAAACACAACAGAGGATGAAACGCCCAAATGCACACAGCATGACAACCCCGCAGAGATGCAAACTCTGCCACGCTGAATACACATGTTTGGACTGATTATTAAAGCTCTCCAAACACAGCCGAACTTAAACTGCGAAAGTGCTGGAAGGCTTGCCGGGATTCCTGAGGACGAAAGAAAAATGTTCTTTCTCCGCTCTTAGCACTGTTGCCACGTTACAAAGAGCCAAGAACGTTTTACACAGAGGTGCTATTAACCTTTGTGCACTTAAGTGGTAAACCCAATAGTGGGAAACGTTGTGATTGTGGTTAATAGAGAGAGAAAAAATACATGGCTCAAAACACCCACTGATATTACGACTTATGTCGAAAGATATTTTATGTTCATAATTGAGTTGTAAGTTACAAATAGATTTGTCTGCAACAGAGGAAGGCAATTAGATTGTTATGGTTTGGGGTCGCAATGGATTTAAGAAACAGATCTCTTTTGTCTGGATATTTCCATTTCGTTTGGATTATTTCACATTTTGTTTCTTGTGATGCACACTTTTGTCAGCTTCGTTCGCTAAAATGCATCGATTCCACGAGCATTTGCATAAATTCTACAACCACCGTTTTATGCAGAATTTTTTTTACACTTACAATTTGATACACTGGGTTAACAGAGGGCATGTGGGGGATTTAACAAACTTGCCAATGGCTCGAACTGGCGACCACAAGTGCGGTGGTGTTATCCATGACAACATTATCCACTCCTGGAAAAAAACGAAACTATTTAAAATTTTACCAGGTGAGGCCGACGGAGCGCTTTGCTTCTTTTTCAGAAGTGACCTTGCCACAAATGATAGCTCAACTTAGTGGCTTATGTGGAAATTTATAGCAGCCAAATACTCTAAACACGTGATGTTGATTTTAAATGCGGAGGGAAAAACCGAAGGACCCCGAGAAAAATCCACGCAACCACAGGGAGAGAGACACGCAAACTCCAAATATACAGGCGTCAGTGCCAGGATCAAAACGACAACCTCCTGTATACCAGGCGAGGCAGTTAACATCTCGCCACCGCGGCGCCCAAAAACTTAACGTGCAGAAGGTGGCTTTAGGCCACAGAAACACGGGAAAGATAAGGCACGCTCGGAAGGGGAAGCCGTTACCTGTTGTGAAGGTGATGGTCGGAGTTTCGGCGACGGTGTCCAATATTTTCACAACCGCGGTGTACTCCGTACTCGGTGTCAACGGCTTCACGACAAACTCCACCGTGTTGTTTGCGGTCGAGACACGTATATGTTTCTGATCAAGCACCGACAACTTGTTCGTCACGATTACCGTGTAGTTCTGGAACACACGGCGGTCAGACGGGGGGGCGTTAGGCTCGGCATAAATATCGGCTCGGTTTTGATGTAGTGCGAAGCCATGTTAGGCATTTTACGGCTTTGATGAAGTTATCATAAAAATTTAGTTCGGTACCTGTGACAGGTACCGCAAAATCCGACCATGTTTGTCCATTGCTCGCTGAGCTTGCATTGGCTTTCGGTTGCCAAACAAATACATTATAAGGTTGCACTCATTACACACAAAGTGCTTGCTACAAATGAACCACAAAACCTCTCATCTCGTCAAGGAAAAAAACCCGCATTCAAACTCCGGTCATTCTAACAGCGGCTTTTGGCTAACCATCGAACAAAGACGGTCACTACATCACCGTCTGGAATGGTCTTCCTTCCAATATTAGGAAGCCACCGGAGCTATGCACTTTTAAATCAATATTGAAAACTGATTTCTTCAGAAGTGCTTTTTGTGTTTAGTTTGTTGTCCTTCCCCCGCACGTCCGATTAGCACGGTTGGCTATGTGTGGTCGGAAAGAAGTTCAACGTGCATACATGGTAATGGGGGGACAAGATAAAACAAAATCGCTTTGGACCAGAAATTTTAAATCTAATGGCTGCAGATGTGCTGTGAACCCACGAAGATTAATTATAATGTAGAGCCCTTTGACAATGCACTCCCCCCACACCACATTGGCTCAAGGAGGTTGATAAAAAATCAGGTAGGAAAAGATGTGGGAGACCAGTCCAAACAGTACCTAGTGGGTTTTGTTAGACTGCTCTCTGCTGCCCACCATGCAACTACGCAGGCTGTAACGCCTGCCGTGCATGGCTGTTGCCCATCCACGCGCTACCCAGGCTCAAAGATACTTAACTTCCAAAGTCTGAGGTGATAGGGCACATTCTGGGGTTATTTGGTTAAAGATACCAAGTGGTGGAAAATAGTTCAGAAACAATAGAACACCTATCAGCAAAACTAATCTGAATACATCCTCGTCAATTGTAATTTATGAATTTATTTGCATCATTCGTACAATATGTAAGCATATATTTGGTGGAGGGGGGGAGAAAATGTACTTATTGTGGTAATGACTGGAAAAAAAGCAAAATGAAGGGTTAGAAGACCATGAAATTATCTACCCAACTATTCAAACATTAATGGGCATTTTCATCAATGAACAATTACAATTTCCATTCTCATGAGCTGTTCTGCACTGCGATAGCCAACGGGGAATTGGAAATACATCACAGGAAGCAGAAAAAAACTTAAACAAACTAGAATGACTTCTGTGTGTCAGCTCTACCACTGGAGTAAAGCGCCAAGATAAACACCTTATGCAATTTAAATGCTGGTATTCACAAAGACATTGCCAGGATAGTCGCTGGCCTTTTGGTTATTTTCCTTTGACATTCCACAGGGAAGCTTTGAAGAGTCTTAACATAAACCTACAACACAACTGCCTTAATTGTCATCAGCTGCAAGGATTGTAGTTGTATAACACTGGTTTTCAAGGTGACACCAATGTCCCAAAGGCACTACGACCTAGCTAATAACACAAAGCAGCAGCAAGCACAAAATGGCATCAAGTAAAATTATATACCATGCCAAGCAAATTGCTAGAATTACTAGAATTATTCCCCTATTAAGACGAGGGTTAATGTCATTCATAATTGCCATTGCATAACGATTGCACAAGACTTCTCTTTTGACTGACGACTTCCAACGCTCGCAAAAACTTCACGAAGAAAAAATATACAAAAACCACTCTCGTTGTGTCAGGCGTGCAACAATTTATAAACGTGCATAGGACCTCCGATGAGCATGGTTGGCTACGTACAGTGCGAAAGAAGTTCAACATACATTACATAAAGGACACATTCCCACATGGTTCCTTACCCCAGCTTCCACACGCTATATTGCGATCGCAAAAATGTAGACCAAAGCTAAACTAAAAACGATTTTATCAGGTAAGGCAAAGTGAGATATAATGCTCTTTATCAAAAGTGACCTGACCACAAATTACAGCTCAACGAAGTGGCTTATAACATGGAAATTTATAGCAGCCAAATACTCTAAACGCATGTTTATGAATGTGGAGAGAAAAATCGGAGGACCCTGAGAAAAATCCACGCGACTAGGGGAGAGAGACAAGTAAACTCCAACTATACAAACGTCACGGTCAGGATTGAAGCCACGACCTCCTGCATACGAGGCGGGGGGGTTAACATCTCGCCACGGCAGCACCCCAATGACAGACAAAACCACGAGACAACATGTATGTGGGTAAACTCACAATGTTTCCGTCGGGAATATCGTAGGGAGGCTGCCACTTGAGCGTGACTTCGGTCTCCCTGACCCTTGCGACGTGCAGCTCCCGGGGAGGCATTTTGTTGTCGATGATCCCGCGAGCATGCATGTAGTTTGACGGAGGACCCAAGTATGGTTTAACCACACGTACCTGCGGGGTTCAAAGTTCAGAGGTCAGAACAATACCCGCTCACAGTGCAACAGGCATCCCAGCACTATCGGGAAGGGTGGATGTGCAATGCGCAGAATGTATTGTGTGTATGAATATTAAACTGAACGGTCGTGCGACAGTAAGCGTGCTGCGCTATGAACCCAGCGACCCGATTTTGATTCTCGCTCACAGCCAACACCGGTGGCGATTTTCGAAATTGGTCCTGGGCCTCCCCTAAGGTTGACTCAGCCTCAAATGAGTACCTGGTGCGGTGTGTAAACATCGCCACAGGGGAGACAAGGGCGGCCAGGGGTGGGGTCCTGATCACCCACCCCCTCGTGTGCCGTGCCGGCCTTCATAAGTGCTCGCTAACAGCACTTGCCCTAAGTCTGTTAAGGCGATATGGGGGATCTTTGTCTTTGTATGTTGAACTTCATAATAAAGGTTTATGGGTATGTTGAACTTCTTTTGCACCGTACGTAGCTAACTGCGACAATCAGAGGTGCGGGTGAAGGACAATAAACTAAACACAACAAGCAAAAAAACGTCTCGTTGATACGGCGTTTGGCAATGGTGCACATGCACAAATGACTAAAACAAATACTAGCACTGGTAAATAACACCACCCTAAGAAAACCAAAAGTTATACTTCACATTTCAGGCAATGGACCTTCATCTGTGTTGTAGAGCCTGGAATGTCCACTATTATATACAATGTCCTTTTTGGGGCAGTGCTCTTGGCGAATGCGTTGAGCATAGTTGCCAAGCTGGAGTATTGTAAACTGAACTGTCAGATGATTACGACATCACACTGCCATGGTGTATTTAAACTGTACCCTTATCACAGTGGTGTGTCATGGCCAGGATTAGGAACATGCAGTGGTGAGATATTAACACTGCTGGAGCCTTAGAGCTATTTAGTTGATGAAAGTCTTATTACTAAGATATGTACTTTCATGTGAAAATTAAGTCAAAATGATATATTTCAGACGAAAAGTGCAAAATGTCTGAAAAAGTTAGCAGTTTTAAAATTACGTCTGTAAAAAAAAACTGTAGTTCTAACCATCTTACCATGATGATGTAGTCATCGTCTGTGATGATGGGAATGACAATGCTGAAGTCTGTTGTCGTGTTACGGATTCCGTTCTGATGCAGGTTGTACAAACTGACGCCGTAGTAAAGGCCGTACGTCTAGAGGAGAGTAAAACAAAAAACAGCCGCAATGTTAAGAAGCGTGGATGTGTCATCAACTTCCAGTGACTACTCAAAACAGTCCGCACCGACAATACGCTCGGTCCTAATAACTGGAGTATTAAAACAAAGACCTGCTTGATACCACCGTGTAATCTTGTCATAACCGACACAAGAAAAGACTGATCTAGTTCAGCTATGTGCTGTTTATAGACACTATTATGTTACTAATATCGAGTGAAACAAATATATTGATTTGCACATATCATGATATATTCCAACTAAGACTTGTATCATTATTAACATTAGCCACATTCATTCTATTAGCAGAGGACTAAACCAATCAAGCAAATATATGTACCAGCACCCAAATGAGCGCAGTTAAGAGAAGGAACATTTTAACAGCAAAATTTTCCGGTTTCTTTTTAATAGCTTGAGTAAATTTCGATTTAAAGCTTTCGTGACTGCAGGGATTCATCTTCTTGATTCTTTCGGTAAAGTCACGTAGAAGGGAAATAATAAAATAAAACATAATAAAATACAATTCTCACGTTTCGGCCACAACGCAAGCAGCCGTCCTCAGGTGAAGAACAGGTCTGTCGGATGACGCCGACAGACCTGTTATTCACCTGAGGACGGCTGCTTGCGTTGTGGCCGAAACGTCATGAGAATTGTATTTTATTATGTTCTATTATTAATATTTTATTATTTCCCTTCTACGTGACTTTACCGAAAGAACCAAGAAGATAGCTTGAGTAACTTACCGTTTACTAGAACGGGATAGTTTATCTTTATTAAAGACTACTGGTCATGCATACAGTGGTTAATAAATGACATTTCACTTGTCGGTACCAGCCTAGGTGGCATCACATGAGTGGTACCAATTTCGTTATGGTGGCCAACAACAGTGAATTCCGCGATACGGTTTGAATGAGTGTGCTATGAAATTATTTACTTTCATTAGCTATGTAAAAACATGAGTGCTACTCAAGTTTTGCCGCCTTAAATGGTACCAATTTGTGCTCTGACCAATGAACTAATTCGCCAGCAAGTGCCGGTGTCATCACCACAGATGCTTGTGCAAGTGCATGGCTAGATACACTTCGAGGTCAAGTGAAGTGTCGAGGGCTCGCTGGAAAAAGGTCACGGGACAGATGCAGGTTTTTTATGCATTGACCGAGCCGGACGATGCACCACCTGTGCTCCCCCACTGTGCCAACGTGCCGTGTTGATGTCGGCACTCGCACACACACCTCCGATAAGCACGGTTGGCTACGTACGGTGCAAAAGAAGTTCAACACACATATACACACACACACACTTACCACCCCTTTGGGCATACTACTACTCCATACGCAAGAGAGGTGGGTGTAGTTGAGCGCTGTCGGCTGGTTCAAGGCGATCTCGGCTGGAAGCTGGCCCTCCGTCGTTACGCTGAGGAAGCCGCTGAGTGGGCTCGGCGTCTGGTCCAGGAATCCCTGCACCACGACCACATGCTCCAGGCCCGGTGCCAAGCCCTCCACTGCACACCGACCGGGCAACACACCAGGACGTGCACATGCCATCTTCACGTGCACCTCTATTTTGTGTAGAAGTCGTGATCATCAGCACTGATATTCATTCAATTCTGGATGAATAACAGTTGGTGTGTATTAATGACGTGCAATGGTTTTTCGGGTTTAACCATGTGTTGTCCGGTATGATTTTCGACGTTTTTCTCCAATCTAGAACTTTTTTCACAAATTATTTAAGCTCCTAACACACGGACTATCGTAGAGCTATACGGCACAAATGCAACATCCTATGCAGTGGCTTCATGATGAGCGCACTAACGCGATGAACCTGGCGACGCGAGTTTGATTCCTGGCCACAGGCAACAGCAGTGGCGAGGGAGATCTAAACTCCTGGGTCCATTCCCTTCACCTACTGCACCGACTAGTGTGGTCAAGTATGGTCAAACAACCCTCATCCAGCAGACGCCTGACAAAAGGCTGGGAATAATTGATCCTTATTAGCAAGTACTAATAAGCTCTGTAAATAACTACATTTTAAGTTACATTAGGCATATACATGCACGTGTATATATTAGGTCTCATTGTGTAGTATCGTTGCATATATTGACCGTCAAACTACTCTACAAATGAAATCAATGTTGTAATAGGTTTTTACCCTTTCAACTGGTACAAAAACTGACACCTTTATACAAGGCATCGTGTTAGCAATAACCACAACACAAGCAGTCAAAATGCAAACAAAAAGTCTCCATTGGTGTTGGACCAGATGACGCCAAAAGACGCCTTTTGGCGTCATCTGGTCCAACACCAATGGAGACTAGGCTCTAAGAAAAGCTGTCTCGGGTGTGGACCAATCAACTTCAAGGACAGCGCATATCATTATCAGAGTTGCTTCTTTTTATTTGCATTTTGACTGCTTGTGTTGTGGTTATTGCAAACATGATGCCTTGTATAAAAGTGTCAGTTTTTGTACCAGTTGAAAGGGTAAAAACCTATTACTATATTTTGCCACTGGTAAAGGAGGTCTCATATTGAAATCAATGTTGTCGTTTGATAAACAGCGAAATAAAAAACACTGTGAAAGTGTAAAAGATAAGCGCGTGATCAGCGTTCTTTTTTACTGAGGACATTGTTTGTCGTTCTTCTTCCCCACACCGCCACTTAGCACGGTTGGCTGCATACAGTGCGAAAGAAGTTAAACATACGTACATACAAATAAAAAAACCATGAGAAAATAAGCTCGGCGACTGTGCAGCTGACAAACCAGAGACGGAGTTCTCGTTTGGAGCCACAGATATCTTGCGCAACTCTTCAGGAATGTCCTTGTAGTTCCAAGTGACTGTCACCACATAGCGTGCGTCCTAGCAGGAGCCAAAAACATCGTATCAATAAATTAACTGTATTTCCAGTTGAGGGCAAATATATATATACATATGAGTATATATTGTAAAAAAACGGGGAGGGAAACATGCCACGCAAACTTTGAAATGCTGACAACCGTTGAACAGAATTTTACAACGCGATTCAAAATACAAATCGCATCGAAATGTGACCACATCTTTCTAGACGCTAGACAGAAATGGGATGAATAATTTTCTTTTTGCAGTGATAGTCATCATGGGAGTAGGGGGAAAAAGGCATTAGAGCCTTAGACTTGAAGAGGGGGCAGAGAGTCAACGACATGAGTGGTTGTGGGAAGGGAATGCCTGACCTTACAGAGGACAGCAGAGTTGAATGAGTGACCCCCCCCCCCCCACACATCCCACTGAGCAAAGGTTGAATGGGCACTTTAGACAGAAAGTCTTGGTTGCTGGAGCAGAGAATGAATGGGAGTATGGAGAATCTTTAAGAAGTGTTTACGGCTGGTATTTTAAAAAGGTAAAAAAGTGCCACCGCTGCGATATGATGTCCAGAGTATTTCAAGTAACTACGCCCCCAACGTAAGCTCCCTTTAATGTTCATCTAGTGTTGTACCTTCAATCTATATACAAAATCAATGTGCATTTGCACATATAATTTATTTCCTACCACAAATGCAATGCTAAGGTAGGTGTCTAGCAGTAATGAAAATTACGGACAAAAACGGCAAAAGCGATTATTTAAAGCAACAAAAACTCTTTCAAATCCTTTAATAGCCACGCTGGGTCTCAGTGCTTTGTTGTCGCTTGAGGAGCACCGACTGCCTTAAGTCTGAGACTGTTCAACAGTCACACCTGTCCAACCTTGATCTTATCCCAGGAGAGACGGAAGCGGTTGTCAGTCACTTCGGATGCTCTGAGATTGGTCGGAGGGCCAATGACCACTGCAAAACAAAAGTTTCAAGCAATGTAAAAAAATGTACGGAGTTCGAAACCACATTTACGCACGAGGCTCAAATACTATTGACTTTCTGGACTTAAATGTAACAATCTGGAATGGAGATATGACAACCAAAAAGAATGGCAATCATTAGTCGCAATGCTAAATAAATGATGTAATACAAGTCACGTAAGTCCATGCTGTGGCAAGCAGAGGGCAGTGAAGCAAAATCCATCGCTGGAGAGTGTACCTCTATGCTCCCATGTCTATGCAGCCCGCCTTTACAAGCCCACAACGACCAGCATGGTGAAGTATAGTTAAATAACCCCCACGACCTATATAGCAATGGGAGGTCCTCATCCAGCAGTGTAACAACTAAAAGGGCTGTACATGTTCTATACAAGCCATAGGACTTAAAATCACCATTTACTTTGTCATTCATAACATCCTGCCATATATGGCAAACCTTCACAGGTGAGTTTTGCTTATGACCTTGAATTCAGAAAAGGTCACGAACATTCCCACCACATGTACAGTTGCAGCATACAGGAGGCCCTCTACCAATAGCTTGCGGATCTCGTCAAGGAGCAGAAACCATCATCACGTGAACTCCGGTTCATCCTCGCAGCGGCGGCTTTAGGCTGGCCGTCGAACATAGACAGTGACTAATTCGCGCGCTTTCAGATGCGCTTCTGCGGCTGTCTGGAACACTCTTCCTTCCGATATTAGGAAGCCACTGGAGCTGTGCACTTTTAAATCTAGATTGAATTCTAATTGCATTGGAACTGCTTTTTGTATCTAGCGTGTTGTCCTTCCCCCGCACCTCCGATTAGCAAAGTTGGCTATGTACGTGTGAAAGAAGTTCAACATACATACATACATACTACCACAGGCTCACCTTCGCTGCTGATAGATGTCCAGTTGGTCCAGTTGCCTTGGCCGAAGGAGGTGGCAGCGGCAACCTGTGGAGCCAAAACCACGAGCACCAGCAATTAGAAACTGTTCAGAGTACAGCTAAGTGATTGTGATGTTATTTATGTATTTCAATATTAACGTGAATATTTCAGTCTACACAGTATTAATATTGTCGCCTGATCAACGTTAAATTGTTTGAACAGATAATAAGAGAGGCAAAGTCGTTTCCAGCTCAAAACGAGCATGGTCCAGCGTTCATCTCATACATGCTGTTCATTTGCCTTCGAGCAAATCAACAGAGATGCATACGATCTTGCAAGGGAAGCAAGCCCGAGCCTGGTGTGTACTTGGATGGGGGACCCACCTCGACTTGCCAAGACTTAACAACATGGGGACATCAATGCTGAGTGCCACCACGACGTAAGAGTGGGTGATTTCCAGATTCTTGGGTTTTCTTCCATACGCTAAACACTTATTAATGGTTTTAACCAAACACTCCAATGCAGCGGCATCCCTTGTAAAAGAGTCGTGAGATTCAATGAGGCTTCAGCCAATTTAGGAAATGTAACATTCTCATGGCAGAAACGAGTTTATCCGGGACAACTGCTACAACTAAGCATTAATGATTTAATTAACCCCGGAAGGTGAAGGGCTGAATCAACACCCCACCAAGGTCTGAGCTAGCAACTCTCCAACAACCAAACCATAGCCACAGCCACATATACGAACAATTAATCCTTGGTGCCTCTGTGGAGCGATCAACATTGGTGTGAAGACATCCTGGAGTATGGTTTGCTGGATTGTTTTGATGAGTGGTACAATAAAGACTTGAAACCATAAAAAATAACGAACGAAAGTTGTAGCCCAAATGTAAGCGAAAGTTTTAACGAAAATATAACACTGCTGCTACCTCAACAGAGGCGAGATTTCCTTGCTCGTGTGAGACGTTGGGATTGTGGTCTGTGATCTTGATTTAATGGATTAATTACGATGTTGTGATAACTTTGTGTTGTTGTTGTGTGTGCGCCTTTCGTTTTGGTGCCATTTCATTATTTGCTTCTTCCTTTTATTTCCTGGGAGGGTTTCAATTTGCTTGGTAGTTGCTACATATTAGATTTGGCCATTCTATATATATAAAATTAACGTTCAGCATTGTCGGATGCAATTATCAGGAATGATGCTATATAAAATAAAATAACAGTAGATCACCGATTATCCAGCGGCTTTGGAGGGGAGGGCGCGCCGGATTCTCAAAAACGCCGGATAACCACATCATAATTTACATAGCTAATTTTTGCACATTCTTTAATGACATTATGTTTTTAGGTGTTGTTGTACGTTTTTTCCATGTTTAAATTAGTTTACTATATGGAATTGGCATAAACATAAAAACAAAAATAAATATCCTACTTGATAAAGTTAGTGTCGTATTTACTGGACCACCGTACTTACCACTCCAACCAATCTTGAACACTCTGCATTATGGGGTGATGTATATATACTGCTGTATTTTAATTGTTTAAGTTGTACACAGTGTATAATGTACTGTATATAATATTTAACACTGAAATCAAGCAAGGCTACTTTTTTTGGCACGCACGTGGTGCCGATAGCCGGACTGGTTGAGGCCTTTCGAGTGGTTTTGCCGGTTTCATCAGATCGGTCTAGGACCACCTGATAATCGATGATCAACTGTATTATCATTCATAACGTGCTGCACACATTGCTTGCTGTGTGTTTTTTTACTTACCCGAACATGATAGGTGGTGTCGAGCTGAACAAACGAGATATTGTATCGTGGCTGCCGTGACAAATCCTCTTTGCTTGATCCGAGTAAAGATGTCCGATATTGAACCTGTCCAACATATACACTCACGTTTAGCAAAAACTTGCACGGAGAAATGTGTAAACTTAGCCGGAAGATTCTGACTTGGCAACTAAATTTAAACAAGTGTTTTCCTGTATAATTTTAAATATAGTAGTTACTTTCTCAATAAACATTATTGTTCATGATGCCACCGAGTTGAAGTCATGTGTCTGCATGCCGATTGTCACAACAACATGTACGTGTCATAAACAGAGACAACTCACCACGTAATTCCTAATGAGACCGTTCGGAGAGTCAGGTTCCTGCCAAACGCACTCGATGTGAACATTCCCATCCATCACGAGGCTCAGGTTGAGGTGTCTTGGTGCACTTGGAACTACAGATAAACAGGTGGAACTCATTAGGCTATTACAAGTCACAAGGGTTATCACAAGCATATATTTTAGCAAATGATAAGCAAGCAGATCAGAAAGACACTTGGCCAATCACTGATTAAAATAGTCTATGCCACGTACAAGTTAAGCTACAGGCAATACCTTCGCAAATTACATTAATTGCGAGAGATGTAAAGATGAAACCCCATGATGACGATTAATACTTGCAATGTGGGGTTTGCAATTCAAGAACCTAATTGTAAATGTTGTGGATTCACTCTTCAACACACCGGTGGGCTAAAGTAGTGAACTATTTGTCTTTTGTTAACGTGACACATTTTTTACTGATTGGCCGTGTCGGGTGGTGGAGGGTTGCAACACATTTATAAATAACGCGATCTAATCCAAAAACCGTTATTATGACTATTTCACCTAGATCAGGTAAGGCCCACTGGCGATCACAAATGATAGCTCAACAAAGTGACTTATCATGTGAAAATCTAGAGCACCCAAAAACTCTTTCCGCATGTTTCTAAATGTGGAGGGAAAACCCGGAGGACATGAAGAAAAAATCCAAGCAACTACGGGGGAAACATGCAAACTCCAAATATACGGGTGTCAGGGTTGGGATCGAACCCACGATCTCCTCTATACCAGGCGAGGAAGTTAACATCTTGCCACCGAGGCACCCAAACAAACTACAGTGACAAACTACACATTAAAAACAATCCCAATGGTAAACACGTAGCCAGGTAGGGGGGCGCAGACTCACGTCCTTCCGGGGTGCGGAAAGTCAAGGAGTGGTTGCTCCTGATCTCACGCGATGCCAAAACCACGTTGACGGTCAACCGGTATTCCGTGTAGGGCTGGAGCGTCTGCGAGGTCCAGTTGGTGAAATGGCTGCTCAGGCTGATATTGTACATTTTGAGTTTGGCCACATCACTGGAAGAAATACACATGCAAAACAAGAAAGTTGAAATCAAGATGTGAGTGACACACCAAGCCTCAACAACGTCTCCAAGGTTGAAAACTAATTTCTTTAGAACTGCTTTTAGTGTTTAACATACATTACTGTCCGCCAGAAATCTACAGCTGCCATACAGCATTGAGTAACAAAAATCTAAATTACTGGACGACACACTGTCATTTCAATTTACGAGACAATAAAATGACCTGTAATTTTCTGGGGTTCAAATACCATGCATCACTATTTCTGAGAAACGGTTGACAACACTATGGTACGAAGCATTCTGTTAATAGTTACATTACCAGCGAATTTTAAAATATAACAACATGTCTGGAGGGCACATTGCTGAATAGATGCATGAGCAAAAGCATTAACTGGGAACATAAGGCTTTACAATAATAATTGTTATGATTTTAGTTCACAATTCAATGCAAGAATCTGTTCATTTTGTATCGTTTTTGCCGATTGGTATTGTTTCCTCTAATACTTTAACTACGATATTAGAATATTATTTGTATATAATCTATATAAATAATAAGTAGTCAATTATTTCGTGCACAATTCATTTTGTGTATCATGGGTGCAAGAATATGTTTGAATCAACTAATGCATAGCGACATGCATTATATAAACTGGCAGTTTAACATTGTGATACAATGCATCAGTTTGCCTGATGAAAAGATGACAATGGGTTAAAAAAACACCTTTACATGAGTAGTCTTCATAACAATTATAGCTTTTGTGCATTTTTTCCTTCAATTCTATCCTGATTAGTTTATCAGCATCATGTCTCAAAAGGAAGTGTCCACTCAGATTTCTCACCGCACAGTGCAAAGCTTCACATTAGAAAACAGCAGACATACCTCTGAGATAATTTCAAGTAACCCCTATTCCACATAGGACAGCACTTTCCCACTTGCTTGCTCCTCTGCCACCGAGAGCATAGTTCATCACATGATAGTCAAATCGACACTTTGACTACTCAGCGCTGTAATATTATGGGTTGCTTTTTTTGGGAGTCATTGGTGACCGGGTTGACACCATAGCTTCGCGACTCTTGAGAACCCAACGTAATCACAGGTCGCTTGCCTGGCTTCGAACCCAAGATCTTAACGTTGCCAGCTCAGCGATTTAGCCTTTTGAGACAGCACGCCACCTCATTACAATTACAGCGTAACCGATGCCAACCTTTGCCAACGGTGTGAGTGGACAAAGCATTTACTTATGATTTAAAGCTTTCGTGACTGCAGGGATTCATCTTCTTGGTTCTTTCGGTAAAGTCACGTAGAAGGGAAGTAATAAAATAATAAAAATAAAACATAATAAAATTATTCTCACGACGTTTCGGCCACAACGCAAGCAGCCGTCCTCAGGTGAAAACCAGGTCCGTCGAGGCGACAGAGTCATTCAGAGTCATTCAGACTCCGTCGCCTCGACGGACCTGGTTTTCACCTGAGGACGGCTGCTTGCGTTGTGGCCGAAACGTCGTGAGAATAATTTTATTATGTTTTATTTTTATTATTTTGTTACTTCCCTTCTACGTGACTTTACCGAAAGAACCAAGAAGAAAAAAAGCATTTACTTTTGAGGTCTCACTTGGTTCATGAATTAGCAATGCCATGGACATGAATAGTAATGTGCAGGGTGGAAGGAGTGGGGGGGAAGGGCAACAGTGTTTCACTAACCTGAAGTGAACCATGTAGGAGAACGCCCTCAGTGGTTTGGGATTGGGCTCATCCCACTGCACGGTCGTGTCACCGTGCGCCATAAACTGCCGCAGATTCTGCACATGATAGGTGTCCTCTGTGCAGTGGAGAGTAACGAAACGCAGAGTAAAATCACCCTCGCATCCAGTGCACAACTAGTCGCCCAGCTGTGTTGGGCTTAACGCGACATGATTAACAAATCAGAAATGTAGGTAGGTGATGATTATACGTATATGCATTGCTGGAGTCCAGCGACTGGCTACGCATGATACCTACTGGACATCTGTGAAAGAGCTTCAAAGCTCATCAGATTCCTCGAGTATAAATAAATATTCCGATTCGGATTCTGACCTATCCCACGGGATTTTTTTTGCCCGCTGACTGGTACTGCTACGTATGACGAGCGGGAAAAGGCATGTTATGCAACCTGGCTACAGAAATAGCTTAAATAAATTGTTCATGTTTTTGTTTTTTGCGGTTGCACCCGATTCAAGAGCCGAATGGCTCACAGGGCTATACCTAATACATGAACTTGAACTTGTTATGCCAAGCAGGTCATTTTTCTCGAAGGGATTGCAGCTAGTGGTCGAAACTAATGATGAAGTGGCAGTCGAAGAGAAAGGAATTTGCCTGAAGGTACATCCACTGTGGAGGTGAAGAAAAAAATTCAACTCATGTGCAGGTACTAGATGGACTGTTGCATCGTAGGACCATGGGAGATGATAACATCTTAGAGAGGATTTCATCCAGCAGTCGATTGATCATGGCTGTTGACGACGATGATGATGGAGATAAAAGAGCATTGACTGATGAGGTAAAATGAGTTGTAATATTGCTCAGAATGAAAAAGGCAGGGTTCTCGCTTTAATTTCACAAAAACAATTTCAGGATGGACATTTAATTCCATCAACAGAGCAGGTTGTATATTAAGTACACAATGGCTTCTTTAAACCGGACCAGAAAATGCACAACTTAATCACGTCCTCGTTCAGTTTAATATAAATTATTCTCAAGCATCAGACAGTGGCCACCCTCGACTGAACACTTTAGCAAATTACCCAGCGTCGAGACTTTTAATATATCAAACTTTTATTTGAGACATGAGGGCACGACATTGGCCGCTGATCAAAACCTCTTTGTTGTCCTTGAAGGAAAATGCTTTCCAGGAAAGGCGATGAATTGACAAGAGCCATCAAGGTAACCTAAACACGACATGATGCTTCCCACGGCTTTTACAGTACGCGCACACACACACGATTTTATTCCAATCGCGTTAACTAGTGACGTGTCGCAAACACCCTTCTGTAACCGGCTCTCGCCTTTGCCGAGAGGCGTGCGTAAGCATGCAGTGCGCACGAGGAGTCGCTCACGTGGGCAGTTCGTCTCATCGCTTCGGTCCTGGCAGTCGTGGTAGCCGTCACAGAGCATGAAATGCTCGAGGCACCCACTGCCGTCCGCGCATGCAAACTGGTTCTCCCCGCACACGCCCGGCACTGTGGGATGTAAAGCCCGGCACCAAGCGTGAACGCACGCCAACACACGTGTTAACCGCTCGCTTGTGGAGCAAAAATTACAATTAACGTCCAATACCGCGGTCTTTTATTAGCATTTGTCACCCATCAAGAAAGGTGGACAAAATCAATTCGATCCAAATCAGTCCCGACTGGTTAAGATACTATGGCCAAATATAAGGCCATTTGGAGATAACGATGATTGCTTACATTTGCGTTAAATGTGTGGCCATTACCTACTATAATCACCCAGGAATGTCTGTCCTTAATGCTCGTGACATCACTCCACATCGACCAGCCCCCCTCATTAATATTCATGAGCAGTCTTAATTTTAGAAGTTTCGTGACTGCAGGAATTAATCTTTGGTTCTTTCGGTAATGTCACGTATAAAGATAAAATAACAAATTAAATAATAGCATACGACGTTTCGATTGCAACACAAGCAATCATCATCAGGTATAAATGAAACAGCAACAAAAAATCTAACCAGAAAACTATAGACAGACATATAAGCAGACAGATATCACCAAGATACATAGAGAGAGAGTAACACAAGCACAGAGAGGGGGATCGTCTCTGTGGGGTGGCCTTAAATAGGCAGAGGGGGTGGGGCCCCCGCCCCCTCTGCCTAGTTTTCTGGTTAGATATTTCGTTGCTATTTCATTTATACCTGATGATGATTGCTTGTGTTGCAATCGAAACGTCGTATGCTAGTATTTTATTTATTATTTTATCTTTATACGTGACTTTACCGAAAGAACCAAAGATTAATTCATGAGCAGGTGACGTCCTCCAAATGGACACCCCCACCCCCCCATTCATAATAATTAGCGGGTGACGTCACTCCACATGGGGGGGGGGCGAGGCGCCTCCTCCCCCCTCCTCGGCGTCAACTTACAACCCTCACTACAAAGGCAGAACCCTCACGTCACGTGATCTCCGTAACGCTATTGAGACATCGAAGTAAAAAGGACGTCATGATGAACAAGGGATTATCACCTTAAAATGAAATAGGTCTGTGTCCGCCCTTGCAAAATGCACACGCACTAATGCAATGAATATCACGTCGCGATCTGCTTTTCGTTTGCAAGTTTCAGATTTACTGCAGTACACCCGTCCTTGGACGGGCAAAAGGCTAGTGTCATAGAATTGCCCTCTTTGTTCCCCGCCCCCCCCCATTTAACAGAAGCACTCACATGGAAACAGTTGCAAGTCTCATCGCAGTGCATGACTCAGTGCGATTCCATTAAGAATAGTCAAGACAAAGATCCCCCGTATAGCCTTAACAAACTGTTGAGGCAAGTGCTGTTAGTGAGCACCTATGAAGGCCGGCACGGCACACGAAGGGGGTGGGTGACCAGCACCATGCCCGGTCACCTAAAAATACACTGCCGTACGTTGTGATTGGATTCATGGTTTATAGGCCTCAACTGCTCTAGCTTCGTAAATATGGTAAAGTGCAATGCCATGCACTGTAAAATAACAGAACATGTACAAATATTGTCAGGTTAAACTTTGTGGAGATTAAATAGGCAAGCAATGATGCATTGAGAGGAAACTCAACGTGTGTGTGATCATTATATATATCTCACAAACCATGCATGTAAAAATAAGTTATTATTTCTGCGAATTATAAACAAATGATATGCTGCTACAATTAGTCTAAAAGTGACAACTGTGCCAAGCATACAAAAAACGAGAGGGAAAACAAACAAAACCTGAAAAATTGTGTATATATAAAAAACTAATTTTCTCGAATAACATTCTTGAACACAGTTGTGACCCTGAATCATGAATCGTGACAATTCATTGAATCACGGGGGGGGGGGGGGGGGGGGTGGGTGGGGATAATCACTGCGTGCCTAATATTAACACGGCAAAAGAACACGCTGCTCCCCATGTGACTCTCTGGATAGATCAGCTGAGCAATCCATTTTCAATTTCCAAATAGCTACGAGATGAGCGGAGTGTTCTGGGTCTGGCCTAAACATTAGCGAGCGGTGCCAAATCATGCGGAAATTCTGCCCCACCTTAATTTCAAGCAAGGCGCCCCCCCCGGCACTCGATATTGGGCAGTTCCCACCCACGTATAACTCCATGAACATAGACACTTACAGCAGCCAAGTTCATCGGAGCCATCCACGCAGTCCTTACGGCCGTCACAGCGTGCGCTTGCTGGAACACACGACTTGTCCTTCAGGCACTGGAACTGGGTGAAGCTACACGGAGATGGTCGTCCAGTGATAACTGCTGGCACAAAAAAAAGGTTACATGGAAGCACAATGCCATGCTATAGAAATGATTCCTACATTTGGTCTAGAATTGTCAATTATCAAAAGTTCGTGAAATGTTGTGTAACTAATAAGTATTGTTATAAACCAAGCCGCCTTTGCTAAAGAGGCAATGTATCATGCGCCTCTCATGGGTTTATTCAATCCTATAAGTAAATAAAGGATAACTGACTATGCATGGAAATTCAAACATGCTTTCATGGCAGATGCTTTGCAGCAAACCTGAAGCAGGTTTTTTAAAATACATGTACAGTAAAACCTTGGATTGCAAGCATAATTCGTTCCGGAAATGTGTTTGTAATCCAAAGCACTCGTATATCAGTTGTGATCACGTGACGCTCGGCAGACAAAGCGTATTCACGTACTACTCGTATTGCAAGACCTCACTCGTTTATCAAATTAATATTTACTTAAAATTTTTGCTCGTTTTGTAAAACACTCGCAAGACCAAGTTACTCGCAATCCAAGGTTTTACTGTACAGTATTCTACAAACCAGGTTTGCTTGAAAACTTCAGTGCAATAAAGTTGTCCGAAAAATATATGGATATTACTGTGACATTGTGGGGAGCGGTGGTATAGTGGTTTGTGCATTGCGCAATGAACCCAGTGACCTGAGTGTGAATCCCAGCCACAGCTAACATCTGTGGTGAGTAATATCTGAAAGCGGTCCTGTGCACCATCTACTTCACCAACCCGAACTGGCTAAGCATCACGAGGTATGGTCAAACAACCCTTATGATTGACTGGGTGTGGAGGTGCTTTCAACCAGCAGTAGATTTGCACAAAGGGTTGTAAATGATTACGAATATTACGTACGATTGAAAATTAAAGAGGGCTCTTTCAGTCTCAAGATGAGGCTGCACAAATTGCAAAAAAAAAATATGTTTTCTTTTGCCATCTCTGGGTGGTGAGTGGAACGTAAAACTTTCTATATGCATGTATGTTAAATTTCTTTCGCACCGTACCTTCCCAACAATGATAATTGAAAGCGTGGGGCGAAGGACAACAAACTAAACACAAACACCTTGTTCATCTTTCATAGAGAACACTGACAAAATATGAAAACGCGGGGCCCGTGGCAGAGCAAGAGTGGCAGGCGTCTGGGAATCCATGGCAATTAATACGTTAACATGAACAACACGAACATATTAAATTGGCATTTAAGCTTCTGAGCATATTGTCACATGCCAAGCCATGGCCCTTGCACCCCCCCCCCCTCCCCCCAGTTGCCAGAACATGCTCCCTGAACAGAAGCTCACTTCTTCATTCTGCTGTCCGGATATGGAACTGCCTCCCTGAACACATTGTCAGCGAGATCACTGTTTCTGGTTTTTAGGCCTTCAAATGCCGAGCACATGGACATCTCCTAACTTCACCGCACACCTTCTAGGACTGAGTCTTTGAGCTGCAGTGAACCAATGCGTATGCCAATTATATGTACTAATGTCTGATATGGCTGTTGTTCACAATTGCAGGCAATAATAAATCAATAAAACATAAAGAACGCCAAGTGGAAGGTTGTCCGGCGAGTGGGACACGTTACCATGCTGGGTGGGACAGCCGTACTCGTCGGAGCCGTCCCCACAATCGGGTGAGCCGTCGCACACAAAGTGGTCAAAGATGCACGTTCCATCGCCACACCGGAACTGATGGGCTGGGCAGCCGGACGGCTGTGAGGAGGTCGTCGCATTCCCCCTACTTGGCTGCCAATCTGGCCGAGGCAAAGAGAACGACACGAACACGGTGTCGGATTTAGACAGGGCATAACGACCGAGGAATTTCAGGCCTGCTCCTCTTGAGCCAAACTTAGACAGTGGTGCTGCTCTAAGCTCATGCCTACGTGGGTCCGTGAGAAAAACTGTGCCAATTACTACATATGTCACCAGGCATGATGGGAATGGAGGGGGAAATATGGGTAAATATTGGTGTTGGGTAAATATGAATGCTCTACAAAGGTCTGAAATGCAATTTCTAATATGACCACTGATAACTGCTACAATCTATTCAGACAACTAATATTGCAGGCACTGGCATTTATTCACATTGTCAATGCCAAATTTCTGACACACCCTGGTTAGGTATGCATGTAGAATGTATTTTGCACTGTACGTATAGCCAACCATGCGAATCGGAGGTGCGGGGGAAGGACAAGAAACCAAACATAAAGGTTAGAACCACTGTAGCAAAAAAATCGACACACGCAAAAAAAAATCGGTAAAGTTGCATAAAACAAGCCCAAGGATACAAATGGCATGAAGTAATTCAGGTTAGTAAGGGGTACACGGGTATAGCTTAAGAGAATGCAAAGGTGTGTCTAGATTAAGCACAATGGCAGCAAATGTATCTGCTTGCTTCACCTATCATGACAGTGGAGCAAACCACTTCAGGGCTGGGCATCTACTTTGTAAATCACTCCGTGTTAATTATACGTTGCAATCATTGCCCCCTACTGACAGGCCAATGTCTGTGCGACCTTGAACCCCACATGGACAGCTGCGACTGGAGGTGCCGTTTCCAATAATTGAGTGAGCGGAAATGCAATGTAAAGCGCTACAAGACGCCCCAGCGTACAGGGGGCACGTATATCAAAAATAAATCAGGATCATTGTTTTTATTATAATTTTAATAACTTGTACCCTTATTTTTGGGACACGTTGGTGCGACGCAATCTCAAAATAACAATTTACTGGGGCAGGTGTCCTCATCCGACCAGTCCCCGCAGTCGTTGTCATTGTCGCACTTCCACCAGACGGGGACGCAGCGGTGGTTCCTGCACTGGAACTGGAAGAGCGGGAGACACCGTGGCGCCACCGTCGGTCCGGAACCTAGTGTCGTCACAACACAAAACAACACGCTCACTCAAGCGTGCAATGGCAACGGTCGCAGCAACAAAAATATTAACTCTCAAACAAATTATACAGGATGTTTGTATGCACGTTGAACTTCTTTCGGACCGTACGTAACCAGCCGTGCGAATCAGAGGTGCGAAAGATTGAGAGGTGACCATGTTGTTTATGCAAAGCTGCAACATTTTTGTTGTCAAATTAATAATGTGGTTTAATTAACGGCTGAACTTTCTTCGAGAATCGTTTTGCAATAACGTGGTGTACGTGAGGAAATGGAGGCGAGTGATAAAGCATTGGTTAATACACTGCACTCTACGGAACAACAGAGTTTGATTTCCAGCTACAGCCAATATCAGTGGCGGTGAAAATCTGAACTGGTCCTGAGCCTTTCCCTTCTCCAATTAGCACCAACCAACCTGGTGAAGTTTGGTCAATCAACCCTCATCATTGAGTGTAGGAAGGCCTTCAATTCACAGTATATTGGAAATAAACCTAATTTCAGAATTCATTTTTGAACTTATAAAGGTTGTTTTATGTAAAACGATTGACATTGTGCACAGGCTGCGACGTGAAGCTACATCCGGAAAAGCGTGTCTTGCAACACGCGCCGTTGCTGAAGGCAAGGCTGAAAACACTTCAACTCGCCTTCCAGAGTTAAGGTTTGCAAACGCAAGATGGAGTGTCCCGCTACAAGGCAGTGGGGGAAGGAGGGGCGGGGAGAGGGATGGTATAGGTGAAAAGGAATTTGAGCCATGGACCTGCTTTCGTAAGAGTACTAACCCTTTCCCATTCCAATGACGTAAGTGTAAGTCATACAACCCCGCAATTTTCAGACGTCTCAGAATGGAAAAATGATTTCGATTTAAAGCTTTCGTGACTGCAGGGATTCATCTTCTTGGTTCTTTCGGTAAAGTCACGTAGAAGGGAAATAATAAAATAATAAAATTAAAACATAATAAAATAATTCTCACGACGTTTCGGCCACAACGCAAGCAGTCGTCCTCAGGTGAAGACAGCGTCTGAATGACATTCAGACGCTGTCTCCCCGACAGACCTGGTCTTCACCTGAGGACGGCTACTTGTGTTGTGGCCGAAACGTCGTGAGAATTATTTTAGTATTTTTTTTTTATTTTTCTTTTTTCCTTTTATTATTTCCCTTCTACGTGACTTTACCAAGAGAACCAAGAAAATGGAAAAATGGTTAACATAAGAAGGCTGCGACATTTGGCCATCGCATATCGTTCTCACCTCTGCAGTTGGCCTCGTCGGAGTAGTCTCCACAGTCGTCGACACCGTCGCACTTCCAGTGCAGGCTGATACACACCCCGCTGCGGCACTGGAACTCCGAGGAGCTGCAGTTGAGGTGGCCCGGCGTTGGCTGCGGGGGTACTAAGCCGCCTGAACAGAAAAATTAAAAGACGTCACACCCTCCACCCACATTTGAGAACCTTTTGAGCCGGCTTAAAAGTTAACGCGTACGTCACAAGCAGGAAAAATGACTAGTTAGACGTACGTAAAACGGTATAATCAGCGAAAATAAAACTATTAGCAGAGGAAGGATCACTCAAGTTGTATCAATAGTTACCAATTTAAAAAAACGCAAGCATTGGTTTTTAAGTCATTACCTACCTGATGTGGGACTGTACATTTTTGTTTTACTTCAATTGGGTTTCATGCAACGGAATTGAGTTTAGTATATTATTGCTTCAATCACTGCATTTACTCTGCAACAAACAGACGCCAAAGTGCAACGGGCATCACGGGACCGACCGACCTGAATCGGTGCAGTTGACTTCATCCGACCCGTCGGTGCAGTCCCTCTCGCCATCGCACTGCCACGACCCCAAGATGCAGCGGCCAGATGCAACGCACTTGAAATCGTAGGGCGGGCACTGTCTATCCCCTGTGCCCGGTATGCCACGTAAAAAAAAACACAAAACCACATTCACAACCAACATTACTTAACCTCAAGCACTTTGTGGTCAGAGCAATCTCATTGAAAGTAAAGTCTGGCCCACCTTTTTGTAAACTCAGAGCAGATGTATTAATGGATTCTACTGAAAGTGACTTTTCAACCTACACAGTTAGATCAACCAATTCCCCAGATTACTATTAATTATAGTCTGGCAGAAAGTCGACTCAGACGGCTAGGACATGTCCTAAGAATAGAGAAAAACCACATTGAAGATGTATGTATGTACGTATGCTGTTGTAACTTGCTGACCCCACCCATACTGGAACGTCTGTGAAAAAGAGCTTCATAGCGCATCGGATTCCTCCTGCACTCTAAATAAAGATTAAGATTCTGATGGATGTTAAACGTCTTTCGCACTGTACGTAGTCAACTGTGCAAACAGGAGGTAAGGGGAAATATCTGTGATGGACGTGCAAATATCAGGGCGCAGACAGAGACAGGCCTAATTAAAAGAGGCGGTCTGAAGTGATTAACTAGGATACGAGGACTTGTGGAGAGTGTGGACGTGGAGATCACCCCGGACAGGATTAAGTGGGAGAAAAAGGACGAGGAAGGCAGACCTCCACACCGGTGGGGAAATTTTCAAAAAGAACAAATTTTCTCAGCTTGCCAATACATGGTTAGAGCCGAGAGGACACATTCACACTGGGTTGGTGCAGCATAGAGCGCCACGTGGCGGGAGGTCTGGTACCGCATTGCTGCTGCTCATCGGCTCCGTCGAGACAATCCTTGTCTCCGTCGCACAGCCAACGGCGGGGGATGCACGGACCGCTCGGACACTGGAATCCGTCCGCAGAGCACGAGATGTTGCCTTGAGCACGGGGGACACGTTTTCGACACAAATTTCGACGTAAATTTCAGGTGGGAAAACAAAGCTCGGACCAAGTGTGCGCGCGGGCTTCTCTAATCGGTCACTTGCGCAAGCGGACTCGGCGGAGAAGAGCGCGATGCCGCACGGAGCACAGAAAATACCTTCGTCCATGAAAAGATTGAGTCACGATAACGTGATAAAACATCGTCCTGTACTCCATCAAGTGAGAGCCCATATGCACGGCTTCTTATTCACGACTTTTTTAAATGTACGTTTACAGCCCTTTGTCAATCCATTGCTGGACGAGGGCCTCCCTGCGCCATGAAAGTTATTTTGACCATACAACACAGCCTATAGCATCCACGACAAAGGTTTTTTGGGTTCAATCGCATATATATAAATGTGTAGTTACCCGCCGCCGCCACCCGACACAGCCAACTAGTAAGATTTGTCACGTAAAAAAAACACATGCCAAATAGTTACTAGTTCAACACACTGGTGTATTTGGAGAGTAAACCCATAACATTTACGATCCGAATAGAATGTTTCGCTGGTGATTACAACCAGCTTCATCAGGCAATTTGGCATAATTAGAGCAACCTGCCGTGCATGGTGGTCCCACGTGTAAACACAATCCAGGCTCAAACCAAATATGCTTCCCAGATCTGATATGAACCAAGGTCAAATAAAGCCGCATGACCCCACTGAATGTAGGCGAGACCCTGAGTTGACAAAAGGGCTGAACATGTCCACATACGTGCAAATTGTATTGCATTGTCCACATCCTATTTTTTTTTACACTTACCAGCTCTGGTCCACTAAGCTATATAGCTCTTTTTCAGAAGCGATCTGGCCACAAATGATCACTAACGTGGAAATGAATTGCAGCCAAATACTCTAAAACTAATGTTGATTCTAAAAGTGGAGGGAAAAACCAGAGGACCTGGAGAAAATCTACACGACCACAGGGAGAAGAACATGCAAACTCCAAATATACAGGTGTCCGGATATGGATAGAAATCACGACCTCCTGTATACCAGGCGAGGCAGTTAACATCTCTTAGCCACCGCGGCGCACTCCATACCCTGGCTGCTGCTACAGTTGACTTCGTCCGACCAGTCATGACAGTCGTTGTCTCCGTCACATCGCCAAGCACTTCGGACGCAGCGTCCGTTGCTGCAGGAGAACTCCGTGGCCTGGCACTTCTGGTGAGCTGTGTGGAAACGATGAAACGACACTGAAGAATGCAACAATCCCACCATGTCCGTGACTTAAATCAAGTGAAAGCCCAGACAAGACTGTTCTTCTCTTTTACGAGGAAGATCTAGGTAAGGGGTTAGTTCATTTTAAAGCTTGACGTTGCTGTTGTTGTCAGCCTGAAACTTCACACTGCTGGGCAAAGGTGACCCCTTCCACCCACCATTGTAATTGTATTACATTTCCTTATTTCCCCAGTAGTATGCATGTTGAACTTCTTTCGGACTGTACACAGCCAAACGTGCTAATTGGGAGGTGCGGGGGAGGGTCAATAAACTCAACATAAAAAACTGTTTTAAAGAAATTAGTTTTGAATCTAGATTTAAAAGTGCATAGCTCCAGTGGCTTCCTAATAAAATAGTTGCTCGTTTCCAGTAGTGGCCTACGAACTCTGATGGTCTAACTGTGACCATCACTCTGATCGTCATCCCTCTCGCAATCTTCCGCTGCTCGTTTAACCTCTCTTGATATCCATGCTGTAGCCAATTATGTCTATAGCTCATATTCAATGTACGGTCAGTGTTTTTCTTCTTTCAATTGGAGGCAATTGCAGTGGCACACAATGGGCAACTGTAATGAATGACCTTAAAAAATATTTAGTTTCTTTATTAAAGCAGACAATATGTTGGCAATTCCCTGCACAAATTACACGCCACATGAGCTCATGAGCTCAGGGTAGCAGATGTGATGACCTCTTAAGTACTCCAAGCAATGGAAAAAAAACCCCCCAATTTTACTAAGTACAGAAATAATTATTTATCTCTATACAAGAAGCATTAATCACTATGGTTTGGATACAGAACAACTTCCATCTCCCAATAACATGTAAAAAAACAGAAAGGATGAGCTATTGTCATTACTTCCTTCTTTTAAATGAGTTTGTAAAGGCAGATGTGACACATTTCCCCCCACCTCTTTCTTCTAATTGCTCATTCTATATTTGTCGTTTGTGAAAATGAAAATGATAGGTGTTGACGACTGCAATCTGTCATAAATATAAAAAAAATATGGACAGATACTGAACCTTAATTTAAAACCACTGACAGCGACTACTCAACACAACAAAATACACGAACGAGTAATGAAATATCACTCGGAATTCCACACTGTAAATAAACTCTTGAAAAGATACACCGAATACAGTTTAATTAAGTGCATGCAAAGTACAGTCTTCTTTTTAATATCAGAAGTGCTCGAGTTATTGAAAGAGCAGGAAGCCATTGGTAGGTGGAGGCAGGTGCTGTGGACAGACACATGAACATCTGCCGGTGCGAAACGCAACTGCGGAAGCTGGCACAAAAACCTCCGTCGAGGCGCGAGTGTGGAGGCACGTCACTTACGGCAGTCAGCTGGCTCGTCGCTGTTATCCCCACAGTCGTCCTCCTGATCGCACTTGTAGGACATTGGGATGCAACGGCCCGAGTTTTGACAGCGAAATTGATTTGTGCCGCACGTCCCCAGTGCTGGAAAAAACAACAATTGTGCGCCCCAGCAGAGGCTTCGTGAACACGACCATTGTGCGTTTAGGTTACAGACGCTACCTTTACACACGCTAGTAGGATTTAGCTGCAAGCAGAGTGCCGAGAGGAAACCTTTTCACAACACGCGCACTTCATTGTGCTCAGTGCTCTGCAGGAGCCATTTTAAACATTGCGTGGGAAGGCAAAAGATTTTCCACACGTGCTTTCTCACATGGTTCAATTTCATCATCCGACGACGCTCCTGCTGGGACAGTCTTCGAAGAGTGGCAGTGCAAGTGTAAGCCAACAAAATGTGCTTTGCCGAAAGCTCATAAGTTCACCTACAGTGCCACAAAGTCCCTGGGCTGTTTGCTCAGTGATAACAAATCAACCACAGGTCTTCAAAGTAAGTATTAGGCATGTCAATACAGTTAATTGCACAAAATCACAATGAATGTTCAACATCATTTTACTAATTCAGTATTATGGAAATGATGACTGGCAGAGTTTCTGAATATGTTAAGTCCCCACTTAACGCGTATTCACACAACATGTTATTGCTATAATGTGTTTTTTCCATGAGGGAACACTTTTCGCACATCGCAGAATGTGCTCCGTTATAACGTGAAAGTATGTCCCGTTATAACGTGAAACGTGTCCGTTATAACGCCATTTCTGAGCAATCGACAACAAGCTACTTTCTTGAGCTGCGTGGCTGAGCCGTGATCGGAATTTTGGGCACACGCGCGGAATGATACGATAGACGGCGACGTTTCCCTCATCTCATTTCAGTGTGTGCGTACATCGTATCTTGCAATCCCCACCTTTTACATTATTTCTTATGGGGAGTTGTTTTCACTGAACGCGTTTTTCGGCACATTTCACTAACGCATCTACCGCGTTAAACGAGGAATCACTGTAAGGCATGTGTTATGTGCCAATGAAAGCATGGATGTAGAACTTGTTTGGCGCCCTATATAGCCAACCGTGCTAATCAGTGACATTGCACCATAGCATAAATAACACCAAGCAACTCTTGAAAAACATGAGGCAACTTATAATAGAAGTGAAACTTTAATTGTGCTTACGACTATCTTTATGATGTGGTATTTTCAACAACCCACAGGAAAGGTTGCATGAACAGAACTTTAGAAAAAATGGCGGTTACAGATTTTTAACCAATGTGATTGGAAAGTTAATTCTAAACACAAAATATCCTCTGCAGAAAAGCCATTTTTCTTAAAAAAAACAGAAGACCCCACACAATCCTCTTTCAAAGAAGAAGAAGAAAAAAGGGCACGTATTGAGAAAAAACTAAGAATGTAATTTGACTTAAAAGGATCACCCTGCTTGGAGCTAGTTTTTTTTTACACAGAAGCACTGCAGCTTTCACAACATTCGCTTGAGAAAAAATACTTACGGCAGTCTGCTTCGTCGCTGAAGTCTCCACAGTCATTGTCGTGATCACATTTCCACAGGATGTTTATGCAGCGGCCGTTGGCACATTTAAACTGGCTTTCGGCACAAACCAGCTCTGGGAGGGTGAAAAAACAAACATGTTTTCACGCGGCTCAAAAATACTGTAACACTGTTCCAACATTTCGATTGTTTTTTGTCTATCAGCAGTTAAAACGCGAACGCAGCTCTTCGGCATATAACCGCCAGGTATTGTGTAAAAAAAAATATCTAGATGAATTGGTGATGCTTTTTAAGTATTATACAACACTCTCTCGTGATTGAAATGTGAATCGCGGCGTTGTGAAGAGCCTCCTGTCAAGCGAATTACTTTCTGATATTCCAGGAACATGCAGCCAAAATCAAACCACAGAAAATCCTATCATCCAGGGATGGACTCTATTATCTATTCTCCACATTTTTATACGAAGAATAGGGAGAGTTAGGAGAGGAATAGCGCAGCTGTGGTGATCATACTGTGCTCTGAAGCATGGTGACCTCAATTTGATTTTCAGGGTCCTCCGGTTTTTCCCTAAACATTTTTAGAAACAACATGCGCTTAGAGTATTTGGCTGCTGTAAATTTCCACATGACGAGTCACTTTGTTACGGTTTCATTTGTAGCCAGGTCCGGTCTGAAAGAGCTATACAGCTCAGTGGGCCTTACCTGGTAAAATATACATAATTAATAGTTTTAATATTCCCAGCCACAGGGAACGTCACTGATGGGTGGGCCTTTCCCTTTACCAAGCCAGACTGGCTGGCATAGTGAAGTATGGTCACGCAATCCAGATGACCAACATTACACGAGAAGGCCTTTATCCAGCAATGGATTGACAAATTACCGTAAATCATTTAAATTAATCAATAGGATTCGCATGCAAGTAGTCGCAAATGTATCGCGTTATCTGCGTTTATCCATGTATAACTTATGAAAAACATAAATTCAGCGGATAATACAAACAATAGGTAGCACTCTATACTCTTTGGGTCATTCGGTAAAGTCAGGTAGATAAATAATAAAAATTCAAAATACAGCTGTATTTTTTCACCTGAAGACGATTGCTTGTGTTGCGATCAAAACGTCGTGATGTTTTATTATTTTCTATCGACGTGACTTTACCGAAAGACCCAAAGAGTATGAATTCCTACAGTCACGAAAGCTTTAAGTGAAGAGGATCCACTCTATCGTGCCCACCACATTACCACAGTTAAGGTTCCCCTACTATGCTGAGTGAATGCCACAAATGAGCATGATCTGCGTGCAAAGTTGTTTATAAATATACTTAACACTGTAACAACCTAATCACCTTCTATTACAACATTTGTACGTAATATAGCATACATTTCTTCAACATGTTTTTTTACTTTGACCGGGTATGACAGAGTTGCATGATATATTATGTTGTGGCAAGATTACCCTTGGAGTTACAAATAAAATCTCCAGAAGACTGCTGAACGGAGGACATTCCGTCAGGACATTGGCAGGTCCGGCCATTTGGTTTGGGCAGGCAGAGGTGAGTGCAGCCACCGTTCTTGTCCGAACAAGAAGTCGTCACTGCATAAATACAACCGCAAACACAGACATAAATAAATAAGTAAGCACCACTGTTTCATTCTAATTACATAAGCAAACGACAAAGTCTCCTTTCATGTACCTGTTCCCACACTTGAAAAATATATAAACGTATTTGTTACACATCCCCATCAGCCACATGGCTTATTCAGAGTGCATAAGTTTACTAGGATCGATATAAATAACAAGGAGACCTCTGGACTGGTTTTCACAAAGTGTCTCATCGGTAGAGTCAGCAGACTTGGTTGACCCAATGCTGGTGAAAAATTTAAATTAATAAAAGTAAAATAAAAATAATTATTTTAATTTAATTTTACTTTTATCAATTTTATTTTAAATTTTTTACCTTCGTGACTTTACCGAAAAAACCTAAGAATATGAATCCTTGCAGTCACGAAAGCTTCAAATCTAGAATCAATGCTGGTGAACTGCTAGATGATAGGCAAAGACCCTCTCTCTACCACAAGAAATGGGTGCCATTAAAAATAAATTTCACGTCAAAAAAACCTTGCTGCTACTTTTGCATGAAATGTTATGTGCCGTTTGGTACGCACTGTTCTGTTTGCCCCTGTAGAAAATCTTCATGTCCATTATTCCAGGAGCACGGCTGACGAGGGTCTGTACGCCCGACCCGTCGTACTTGTTTGCTCGCATGATTCCCATGCGAGACCAATCGTCCCAGTACACGTCGCTCTGTTAAAACACACCCCACCAACGCGTCACATTACTCGCGATAAACAAGCAAAGCCGTTCCTCGTTGCCGTTTACTCCGTGATTATAAAACAAGCACCGAAGTGCGCTTTTAATTTATGAATGTGCATTATTGTTTAAGAAGTTAGAGAATGCATGGAGCGACAACACAAGTAAGACAAATTATCTACGACTACGACCCTCAAAAGGAATGGCGCCACCCCCCCGTGGTGCCCACCCCCCATCCCCCTCCCGTGATCCGTGGATCAAACAAATCACGAGACACCGGTATATGGCAGCCAAGAGCAGTTTATGCGAATGCTGTCGCAAGAGGTCACACATTTGGCGCAACGGTTCTTCGCTGACTATATGTGATGAATGAATAAGAGCAAGCCAGACACCAATATATTAGAACACAGTGTCCCAAGCAAAGCATGAAGCGATGATATATGTGGCTGACAATGCATTAGATCCAACGGACAAATATCTGATTGTGTAGAGTGGATGACGGTGAACACCATTATTATAGTTATACAGAAAACATCTAATATTGTCCAATGCCCACTCACTTTTTAATATACCTCACTGCCAACAACTTTGCAACTTACGTTTGTTTTGTCAGGGATTATGGGAATTTATCATTCGTGAAATGTGAGAAAACTAACAAGAAGCAACTAATTTTATAATTTGCCTAACTCTGCTACCTTTAAACAAGCCTTGTTGAGAAGGCTCAGTTAACGCAATACTTTATAATTGTATTTAGCAAGCACCACATGCTTTCGGCTAAGCAAAACCAACTTCACACCGCAGCACTGGAGCTTCATAGGGTTCCACGTTCTGTGACATGACATGTGCTTATAGTTTGGGCCTGGTTTAGACATAAATTAAGCCTTTCTGATCAATAAGACCAAATTATCACGAATGTATTACATTAAGATTGCATGTATGTTATGCATACATCAAAAGCTCGCACTACTGTTTTGGAAATTTTACTCGTAAAAAAATATTTTACTTCTCAAATTGACTCGGCGCATTCGCCCCTCCAACAAACTTAACCAACTCCAGAGTTTGACACTAAGCGTGTTTTGCTCGACAGCAGAGCCACCTGGTCGGCTACAGGCCACAGGCCCCTCTGTACCTTGTAGACTGCGATGGCGTAGGGGTGCGGCAGGTTGCTGTTGATCAGAACGACGCGGTTGGACCCGTCGAGGGAGGCACGCTCGATGCGGTCGTAGAAAGCATCTGTCCAGTAGATGGTCTCTCCGTCGACGGCTATTCCATTGGGCCAGCGCACATTGCTACTTATGATCTTGTTGCTGTGTTGGCCGTCCATGTCACTGGAGCCGATGCCTGCGTTCACCTCCCCCCAGTCTGTCCAGAACATGACCCTGGGAGGAAAAGCAACCCAACAGTGCAAGTAAGAGAAACGGCCGAAGTATTTCTCTATCCTGAAAACTGGGGGTCATTATATATATATTTTACGTATATTAAAACAATTATCCGATTCAACGGACTACCAAAAGAACCGGTTATTCATGTAGTCTCCTCCTCCTCATCCCACTAGGTTCACGCTGACAGTTAAAAAAGATTCAGATACAAAAAAAATAGTTTGGCTCAAACAGGGTAATGTTTTAATCATGATAAGATAATACAGTAAAACCTTGGATTGCGAGCATAATTCGTTCCGGAAACATGTTTGTAATCCAAAGCACTCGTATATCAGTTGTGATCACGTGACGCTCGGCAGACGAAGCGTATACACGCACTACTCGTATTGCAAGACCTCGCTCGTTTATCAAATTTATATTTATTTCAATTTTTTGCTCGTCTTGCAAAACACTCGCAGACCAAATTACTCGCAATCCAAGGTTTTACTGCAATATTATTAGTGACACTAATTGAAATATAATTCACGTGACAAAAACTACAATGAACTTGCTGACCCTTTGTTGGGCACCAGAACGAGGCCACGAGGTTTTTCCAGCACAGTGGAGTTGAGGATCACTTTCCTGTAGGTCCCATCCAGCCTGCTGACCTGCAAACACAAACCATTGGCTCAATCCTCAAAAAGACGACACAAAGAGACCTCGAACGTAAACATTAAATTGCATATCATATAAACGATGCTATTTCACTTATCAGTCCGATGCTTAAAAATATAACACTTTAGGAAGCAACGGGAGTTGGAGTTGTGGTGCCTTCAGCAACACCAGGGGCTCGCCTAAGGTGTGAAATAACTTGAAGGTGAAAGCAGAACGATAGATTCCTCTGCTTCAATGTCTAACGTGGGTTACAAATGCGGAAAGCATTTTATTGGTTACAGAGACCCCTTGTGATCATACAAAATGTATGCCACACACGCTCTGGTACATAACGCTCAGCTACAAAGGTTAAGCAATCACTCATTCCACGCATGCCGTGAAGAATTACCCAACACCATTTCACATGAAACGTTGATGCATGATAAGTGCCCAGGACCAAATCAACCGCAGTGAGCCCTTGTCAGATTTCGCAAGCCACGCAGCGTTGAAAACCTCCAATTGTACCTGCATGGGTGACCACCATGCATTACAGGTGTTATAGGATACAGTATAGACTGCGGGGCCGCATGGCAGACAGTGGAGGACAGCGCAGCAAAATATATGTACTGTACTTCTATGCTCCCAAAATCTATGCTCCAAACCAGAATCTGCACTGACCAGCATAATAAAGTATGTTAAATAACGCCCATAACTCACACTGTGATGGGGAGGCCCTTATCCAGCAGTGGATGTGGATTGATAAAGGGATGTCCGCTCAACCATAGAACTTTCATTAAACTCATTAACAACATATTCCAACAAGTGAGTTTAAGTGACACTTCGCCGCCCAATAGTGATGCTATTCTCTACAATTTATGAGTAAAAGATGTGTATATGTTGCCGATACACGAATACGGTCACTCAGGAAAAAAAATTATACATCAGTGGCACGTAATATTACGTCTGACAGTCAATGCGTTGGTGGTTCAGTCGAAATCACTCTTGATTTCTCACTTGCAATCTACTTCCTACACTTCACCTATCTGGGCTTTTCTCTTTAAATCATTAACATGAACGTTGATTGAAAACCTTTTCATTGGTGAGATTCAACAATTTGACTGCTGCAATCGAGAAAATACATAGATCTATCTATTCTGGATTTGAAGCTTTCGTGACTGCAAGGATTCATATTGTTATGTTTTTTCGGTAAAGTCACGTAGGTAAAAAATTAAAATTAATAAAAGTTAAATAAAAATAAAATAAAAATCACGACGTTTCGGAGGCAAGACAAGCTTCCGTCTTCAGGTGGAACCGTCACAGCACGATTGCTGTATCAAGTGAGAGAAATTCCAAGAAAACAGTCCTTGTATATATACTGGTTGAGGGTGAGAGGAGCCAAGGTAGGCCCTGAATATTATTTTTGTGAGATTCGGTGCGGCTGAAACACAAATGACCGGTTCAAAAGTAAAACCCGAAAAGCACCTCAATGAATAACCCAACCAATCATAGATATTCATTGTAATTTATAAGAACAGATTAACCCCCCTCCAACCACCAACTCTGTCTGGCCTTCGCACCCGATTGTCTCACAAGTGACGACATCGCATTTATCCCTCAATTTAAGACCGAAACATGATTTTTCACACAATTCTGGCTGTCGCCTGATGAGGCTGGTTGTAATTACCGGCGAAACGTCCTACTTGAATTGTAAATGTTGTGGGTTTACTCTCCGACACACCGGTGTGCTGAACTAGGAACTAATTGACATGTGTTTGTTCACGTGACAAACCTTACTAAATGGCTGTCGAGTGGTGGCGGGTTTAACTACATTCATATCCACGCATTCTAGATTTGAAGCTTTCGTGACTGCAAGGGTTCATAATCTTAGGTTTTTTTCGGTAAAGTCACGTAGATAAAAAATTTAAATTAATAATTTTTTATCTACGTGACTTTACCGAAAAAACTAAACAAAAAAATTAAAATTAATATTTTTTTATCTACGTAACTTTACCGAAAAGAAACTAAGAATACATATCTACGCAATCTAACCCAAAAAAACCTCGATTATGCACCTCAATGTGCCTGGCTTCCGCATCCACCCAGTAGAGGAGATTGCTGTTGGGGTCAACCACAACCCCTTCCACATTCTTGAGGCCCTCCTTCAACAGTTGCTGCTGTCCCAGAGTACCATTGAGGCAGAGGCGCTGTTGGAGAAAAGAGAGGAGGGAACTCAACGTTACGTTTCACTCCGTTCGCGATTCTCCATACGATATCCACCTTGTCTAAGCGTTGTGCAAGTGCTTGTGCTTTTTTAATTTCGATTTAAAGCTTTCGTGACTGCAGGGATTCATCTTCTTGGTTCTTTCGGTAAAGTCACGTAGAAGGGAAATAATAAAATAATACAAATAAAACATAAAATAATAACATTTTATTTTTATTAAATAAAACATGATTAAATAAGAACATTTTATTATGTTTAATTGTTATTATTTTATTATTTCCCTTCTACGTGACTTTACCGAAAGAACCAAGAAGATGCTTGTGCTTTTAGAATTTTTTTTGCCAAATTACAAAAAAGAAAACACATTTTCTCAACCTAGATTTGAAGCTTTCGTGACTGCAGGAATCCATACTCTGGTTCTTTCGGTAAAGTCACGTAGGTAGCAAATAAAATAAAAACAAATCATGACGTGTCGATTGCAACACAAGAATAATGATGATTGCTTGTGTTGAAATCGAAACGTCGTGATCTATTGTTATTTTATAGCATAATGATGATTGCTTGTGTTGCAATCGAAACGTTGTTATTTATTTTTATTTTATACCTACGTGACTTTACCAAAAGAACCAGAGAGTACACATTTTCTCAATTGAACACGTTTGTTTACATGATTAGAATTAAATGTTTTAGATGATTTTCTTTAACCTGGTGAGAACTTAAAGAGACCACAATAGCCTCATTTACAAGAGTAACTTACAACAAAACAAAATAAAGTAGAAAATTTAAGCAAAAAGAATACAGAACAATAATAACTATCAATAAGTTCAAAAATTGCACAAACTTAAATGAACGTGAAACAATAAATTGCCTGCAAATTAAGTCGGTTAGGGCAGATTATATGAGAGACATTAAACAGACACGGTTGGTACTGTGTTTGTGTGTAAACACACATCTCACGAGCATAACACTCACGTAAATTGTACATTAATGAATATCACACGCATGATTCAATAACTGAACACACTCATAAATGCTCATTACAAAAGTAATTGTAGATGATGCAGTTTTCTTGAACAAAAAAATAAACTTTCAGATAGACAAAAAAAGCCAACACCAGTCCAAAAGGATACTTGTTTCAAATTGAAAAAAACCCCGTTCATTAGCATGTATTATATAATACTTTCCAACATGTTTGCTCTCACAAATGATTAATTAGCGATATCGGTAGCTCCTGCCAGGAGCGCAGGAAGCAGTGTGTGCGTAGGCCGTAATGAGCCAAAGGGGCTCTTGATCGCCAACCCTTTGACCCACAAGGCCGGAATTCAAAAGGGAGAGTCCCCTAATCACACCCACTTTACACTATAAGTCTCGCTCATACAGGACCATCTTCAAGATAGTTATGCCGCCCTTTATCTTTTCCGACAAATGGACAGAGCTGATGCATAACAAACGTGCTCAACTTTAGTTACAAAGCTTTAAAAATGTAGCTTGTGAGATTTGCTCAAGATCACCTGTATGGTATCGAAGGCTATGTCAGCCCAGTAGAGGCAGTTGCGAAGGTAATCGAAGTCAAGTGCCACTGCACTGTGCAGCCCGGTGAGTGGCAAAGTCTCGTCCAGCCCAGTCGCAAGGTCGTACCGGTGAATGCTCGTGCGCCGAGCGTACAGGACGAACTCGCGCTCCTCTAGAGCAATAAAACATGGGCAAGGTACCGTTATTTCACTTGCGTGGAGCCACAGGTGGGCTCAGCAGAGGGCAGTGAAAAAAAACAAATAAGTGCACTATACTATGTATGTTGAGCTTCTTTCGCACAGTATGTAGCCAAGTGTGCTAATCAGAGGTACTATGCTCCCCACCTTCACTGACTCGCCTTGTTGATGTATGGTAAAATAGAACCCCTCTACCTGCATGGCAAAGGGCCGTCCTAACTCCTCATACAGTCTCCTCATCCAGCAGTCGATGACAAGGCTGTATGTGTCCCACTACTCAGGAATAGAAAAATAAGGTTATACCCACATTTGTAAATAGTGCTTTTGATCATTAACGTTTTACTTTCACAATACTGAATGCACACGTGTTGTGCTACAAGGCTCTCAATATGGGTTAGCCCCACAATATTTACAGGAGCGGATCAATTTTTATACTCCAATGAGGCCCCCCCGAAATATTCGTATCGCCTTCTTCTAAGGACTCCGAGGCCAAGGCTCATTTCCTGGGGTGATCAGGCTTTTTCCACTGTGCAGCTCCCAGATTATAGAAAGCCTTGCCTTTGGCAACAAGACAATAAAGAGTTGTTTGAGCTTTTTCAGTCTGTCCTGAAAACTCACCTCTTTAAATTGGCCTTTTGACCCCCCAGTTCTGGCCATTTATCATGGTTCTGTTAATTTTCTGCTTTCCATACATGGGCGCATTGGCGATCTACGGGTGAAATGTGCCTTACAAATGTAAATTATTATTATCATTACAGAAATATACGACACGACGAAATGTGAAGAATTTCCCACCCATGACTGGGCAAGGAACAAGATTTCCATCAAGCACCCCCTCCATGTCTCCTCCGCTGCACGTGTCTCCAGACACCTTACGGTATCTGAACAAACAAACGCGCACGCACAGGGAAAAAACACATTTCTTTATAAGCTTTTTGTTTGTTTTTCAAGAGCCAAGGGATACGACAGGATGAGAAAAAACACATTTTCATATTGTGGGCGGCATTTTAATAAAGTCCTTTGTTTTATTATGAATAAGTTGAACATTTTATATGTCGGCATCATTTATGTATGGCATTATGCTGGCTAACAAATAAATGATAGTATTGACTGTAGTTTGAAATTAGAAGATTGTGTGTTGTTGTGTGTCAATGCACTCTCACCCCTTGGTTTGTCTGTACATGGTACCCGCAGGGCAGTTGACAGGTGGAGCATACGGATCTCCATCAAAGTCTGTGTCTTGAACACACTGCTCATTTTCTAGCGTCAGCTTGAAGCCCGTGTCACTACAAACGAATCACATACCACCATGCCTCAGTGAGTTTATTTAGTTTGCTGTCCTTCCCCCGCACCTCCGATTAGAACGGTTGGCTATATACGGTGACGAAATAAGTTCAATATAAATACATACAATAACTGCACTATTTTATTTAGCAATGAATAGTTGTATAGTTGACAGTAACAGTGACATTCTAAGTCAATGATTTAACGTTCTATATTCTCATCTAGGCATTTACAATTCTTGAAAGGTCACGCACCAATTACTCAATTGCGATCACATGCACAGCAATAATTTCCCACTACGATGGACACATGGCAGAACTTCTAGATTTGAAGCTTTCGTGACTGCAAGGATTCATATTCTTAGGTTTTTTTCGGTAAAGTCACGTAGGTAAAAAAATGTTTTAAACAATTTTTTACCTACGTGACTTTACCGAAAAAACCTAAGAATACATGGCAGGAGCTTTATGATAAAGAGTCGCAAAACTCTGTGAGACTTTCCTGGGTAAACAAGGGGAATAATACATACTAGTAATGACAGGTTTCTTGGGGCCAGGTATTTATAACATGTAAATTAAGACAGAAGGTAAGTAACCAATGCATTGCCTCTATTTGTGATGTAATGCATTATCATAATTCTAAGATTATTCATAATAAATCCCTTAATCCACAATTGTCTCAGTGAGTCTCACTCTATCAGAAAGGTTCTGTTTTCGTATATTTTGCCAATTCCATTTATGAGCATTTGGTATGTAGGAGGAAATTGGAGTACGCTGTGAAATATCACATGTACAAGAAGAAAACACTCAATGCTTTACCGAAATATTCAAGAATTCAGCTGCAGTGCTGCCATCTCTTGGCCATAAATTCGCAGCCGAATAGATTTTGGAGGTTCACAAATCTGCACTGTCCGTCAAAGTTCTGAATTCCAAGCATGCAACACAACTGCGTAAAATAAAAAAAATTGCACGTTTTTATTTTAACAAACGCCGACCGCACTTCACGTACCACTCAAAGTCTTCACGTGTGCAGGAGCAGTTGGAGGACATGATGGGCCGATCAAAGTCTTCCCCGTTGAAGCAAAGCGCGTGGGCGGTACGCCGTTTGTACACGGTCTTGCGACCCAGCAGACACTCATTTCCCAGTTCGTCTGCCGGCGACCAAAGCTTGTAGTCCTCGTCCAAGCAGGCAGAACCTAACAATGCACATTTTGACTTATTTGGCGTTTACACCGATGATGCGCGATATAAAAATAAAGCACAATTTTGCACAATAATTATTCACTTTCCCGCGATTCGCAACCCCCCCTGGCCAAAAAATCTTGCGGGGGAGTGCGCCAAAATCAGTTCTTGGGATGTCGAAGCGGTCGGAAGACGAATGTTATGAGGCGGCTGAACATCATGCTTCACATATAGCAGCACCCAGCCTGATGACACAATTGGCTGCTCTGTGTTCCAAAGGCAGATTTGACTCCACGTGCCCCAGACATGGTCGGACGGTTCCTCGATTCAACAGAACCCAAATCGACGGTCAATATTGACCTTTTTTTAGCAAGTCTCAGCAGACTGAATAGACCTTTCAATCTTGACAAAAACTTGACGACAGGGTTAATTAAAGACAGATTTCTGGATAAAATGTTGATATTAGACCGTTTTATGAGGACCGGTGTGTTATGCTGTACCAGTGTACCGCAAATACGTCAATTTGTATTGATATGTTGCATTTGTCGCCACCAGCAAGGGATACTGTGATACCAAAACACAGCAGACGATAATATCATGGCTACATTTTAATTCCCAATCCCTACTCTTCCCCTACCCCACACCCCCCTCTCTTCTTCAGCCTCACACTCCCAGCCCCGCCCACTTGCCCCCCCCATTTTCCTTGCTCCTAATCCTTCGAGCAGCACTCAACTTCCCCTACCCCACACCCCCCCTCTCTATCTCTCCTCCCTGGTTCCTCCCCCCTCTCTTACCTATATAGCCTCTTGTCACGGCAGCCCTTTTGCCCACTTCAGCAATTGTTTCTTGCTGTGGTTGTCCCACCTGATGACGGACGCTTGTGTTGCGCCCGAAACGTCGTGATTTAATTTATTTTATACCTACGTGACTTTACCGAAAGAACCAAGAGTATGGATCCCTGCAGTCACGAAAACTTCAATTTCCAATCCCTATTCTAGACATGTATGTAAATAATAAGTTGACTAGCATCGGACCAGGTGACATTGTAACACACGAGAGCCAGACCAAGGTACTTTTACGATTGTAAGGGTTTCGCATCGACGAAGGAAGCTCACAGAATGAGACTAAGGCATCTTTACGGCTCTTAGGGTTCACTGTCAATGCGCGAGGCTCACAGGAGTGAGTTGCAAGAGCGGTAATACTGCTGGCAACTGGCCAGCATTTTCAAATGGGTGTGCTTTGTCAGAGTACAGTTGTACCATGCCTTTTAGACGCCAACATTTTAAACCTCAATTTTTCATTTATTATTTTAAACCTTAAATAACTACAGGAATTCCAATGTTCTACTGCTAAATTAACAAACTCCTAAAGCACCTCTACTTACAATTTGCTGAAGAAAATATCCAATGTTTACACTTTAAAATGCATTACTGGTGAATGTCTCGAGCCAAATTTCAAGTAATTTTTCAGAGATAATTGTAGGATACAAAAATATCAAGGGAATACCATATGCTACATAGAGATTAGGTGTGAACAATATGCTGAGGTGTAAACAATAGCATTGCCTGTGCTGAATAGTACAGGATAGTGCTTAAAATAGGACAGTAATTGCTGCAATTAAAGTTACAACATTTGCAAGGAGATTAAAAGACAATTTCAAGGAATGCACCAGCTGTTTACACATATGAAGCAAGTTGAAAGGATTCCTGAAAGAGCCAAAATGAGTCGCACAAAGCTACTATTAGGTGGGCTAAAGCCTCCTCCCTACCCCCAATGGATGTCCGAATCCATTAAGTGCAGTTACTATTGTAGTAAGTTGCAGGAGGCTTGGACGACGTAGTTGGAGGCACACTTATTTATTAACACCAACGTATTTACCGAGACGGGGATACACAACACTTGAAGGGGTATCGGCCCCTTCACCCGTCTAACAGGGAGACCCAACGTCTAACCCGGCTAGCCAACTCCCAGGTCCTCCACTACAGAGCTAAGGGAGGCTATCTATCCCAGCCCTGGTCAAGCTGGGATTTACGGCACCCTGAGTCTCCAGACCGGCTCTTATAAGAACCTCGGTCTGGGCTCTCGGGGCCACGCCACCGGCTTTCCCTGGTCGGTCCTGACAAGGACAGCGAGCCAGGGGAGTTCCAGGGCCTACTCTAGCTGGTCTTCAATCTTCGCTGGTTAAAGCTAACACTCGACCCCGAGCCCTCCGGTTCACCACCTTATATAGCACTCGCCCCCACCCCCCCCCGGGGGGGCCGTGGGAGATGGCAGGTGCGGACGTCGATGTAAGCACCTTCTCAGCGTACGGCCATAACCACACCCCTTGTGTTTGTTTGCCATCCGTACCAATACACCTCTACACTATGAAGAAAATGTATTGCTGTTGTATGGAGTTCGCATGTTCTCCCCATGGTCACGTTTCTCCGGATCTTCCGGTTTTTCCCTCCACGTTTATAAACATGCATTGAGATTATTTAGATTATTTTGCTGCTATTAATTTCTACGCGATAGGACACTTTGTTGAACTATCACTTGTGGCCAGGTCGATTCTGAAAAAATAAGTTAATACCTCAGTGGGCTTTGCCCATGGTAGGATGGGGATGGTTTAGTTTTATTTGTATGTTTTTGGGCGATTTATTTGCCTTTCTTGTACTTTGCACTCGTATTGTGTTTTTGTATTTGCTGTTGTAACGTTCTTAACCTCCCCTACTGGACATCTGTGAAAAAGAGCTTCATAGCTAATCGGATTCGTCCAGAATAAATATTCCGAATCTGATGTACGTTGTGACTTCTTTTGCACCATCCGTAGCCATTCCGTGCGCTACTTACCAAGCACATATGTCATGTTGATTTGCAGGATGAGCCAACTGTGCGCTGCTGGAGCTTTGGAGCCAAAGATGGTGAAGACAGCACTTTTCTCGCCTGGCTCGGTCATGAGACCGTACACCGTTATGTTTTCCGTAGAGAACTGGAAGTCTCGCCACGTTTGCCCCTCGTCGGTGCTGAACCTGGTGGGTGGCACGAGCAGCAAGAGGGCGGACACACAACCGTCAGAAGCTGGTGCCAAGTAAAAGGATTTGAGTCGATAGCGCGTGGGATGTTACCACCAGTGAGCCTGTGGCATTAGGACAAAATGCTAATGTAAATATGCAACACATTTATGAATGTATCGCGGCATCACAACCCAAACGAACATTTCCATTTATTTATTTCGTGAGTAATGCCTCATCTAGTATCAAGTCTTTTTTTCAGGAGGAAAATGTAAATTTTTTTTTTTTTTACGAGTGGAAAAAAAACCTGTATTGCACGGGAGAACCCCCATTCATACGAAAGGTTAACACACTCAGGTACGCGCACATACACACACGGTTTCATAACCCCACTTCTGCACCGTCTTCTCATTGCCAGCCTGCAGCGAGGGTAGGGTTTGGGAGTTTCACTCATCTGTGCGATGCACCAGCCTATGGGTCAGCAACCTGCAGCTAAGGAGTTGCTTCGTGACATTATTTATTAAAGACCAGCCTCTGCATTCACCACAGGGCATTGCGGCTCTTGAAATAGTGAGGTTGTTATTTTGGTTGCCGACCCCAGCACATGCTCTTGCCTATAAAGGAGCGAGACAGTCAGTATTGGCCACAACACCCGGCTGAAATACATTCTACTGAAAAGCTCTGTGCTGACCTATTTAACTCTACTAATGGGTTTGTTTGAAGATTATTAGCCATTCATTATGTTATTGCAAAACTCATCCATTTCATAACCTTTACTGGACATGGTGACACTTACTTGAGCATGCCTGTAAGTCCCTCTTGAGAGACGGCGACAAGAATGCCGCCATGATCACCCCACGCGAAGTAGTGAGGTCCCACCAAAGTCTGCACAATAAGTCGGGCAATGATTTAAGAAAAGCTACAGTGATTATCTGGAACAAAATGTGGAATGTTACTGTGAGCAAATGTATTTGTGTAGAACTTCTTTTGCACCGTACGTAGCCAACCGTGCGAATCGGAGGTGCGTAAGAAGGACAACAAACTAGACACAAAAAATAAGTTAAGATGTGTTTTTAATCTAGATTTAAAAGTGCATCGCTCCAGTGGCTTCCTAAAATCGGAAGAACATTCCAGATGGCCACAGAAGCGCATTTCAAAGCGCCCGATGCAGCGAGCGTCTTTGTTCGATGGTTTGCCAAAAGCTGAAATGTGAAAATTATGTTGAGGTTATTAGTAAAGCTCTTTTTACTACATGACACTTATATTACATTGATTGTAGGTTTGTTGATAAAGATAATTCCAAGCGATGTACTCACCTCCCTCCAGTGGGCACCTGCCGTGCTGGAGATGTACACATTGGGCTTATGAGCCAGATTTTTTCCAACGGAGCCTACCACAGACATACATACATACAAATATAAATGCCAGGCAAGGTACATACAAAATAAAACAGCATCACTTAAAATTGTAATCTTTGAAATGTTACGTTGCATTGTTTTATTTAATCACTAAAAGGTAATTTGTATTTTTATAAATCTTTAAATGATACATGGCAGTAGTCACAAATCTCTTCATGTGAAAAAGGTAGGTGGCACAGGAGATTTTAAGACACTTGAGCATTTGCATGGGTATTATTGCTGCAAAACAAAAACAAGTTGTGACTTGGGCTTCAATCATTCTCAAATTTAGATCAACACAGCATCTCAACAAATATTCGTCCTGAATACAAGGGTGCCATGGCACAATCTGAATGCAACCCCACCTGATGCCATTATCAGGCCAGGAGCAGAGATCTTGGACATGACTGGAAGCAATCGGTCACGGAAGTTGAGCAGCTGACTGTATTTTTGTGTCACGTGCAGGGAACAGTTGTCCTTAAGCTGCAGACGTACAACAAACGTGAGCGCAAGTGCACGTTAGAAGCCCGACGCGACAAGAAACCACGAACATAAAAACCACAGCACAAACACGTAATAAAAAAAAAACATGACCGCAAAAATGTTAAGAGTTCAAATAAGGGCATTTTAAAAATCCTTTATATTAAGTTCGCTTGCTTGCTTAGGACCATGCAAATCTTTCGGTCGTTTTTTTAACCCACTTCCCGTGATCCAATCGAGCTGACATTTTCCAGACAGACTCGTGCGTGACAATGAATTTTCGTGAAAATTTTTTTCAAAAATTTGACACTGTTTAGGGATTTTTTTTAAAATATTTATTTACCAATTGGTTAATGCTGGCACACACTCATCTGACCCATAGGTGGCAGCCATCTCAAGCCAGAGGACGAGAGGACTCTATAGTTTTTACGGGTTAATTTTTTATATTTGCGGCTTTAGGAAGTCCCACCCCTGCCTATCAGAGCGTTCGAACCTGACAGTTGACAGGCCGGCCCCAGCTGTCAGTGTCAGGTGGCAGCAGTGGCTGCCACTCGCCTCCCTTGTCGAAGGTGATGAACGAGCGCATGTTCTCCTCACTGAAGTGCTCGCCCGACACCTGCGTGGCGATGTAGATGCCGCGCAGGCCCTCCACGCGGTGGATGTCTGCAAACGGCTCCTGAGCAAAGTACCTGCAAGCGACACCCACGCAATGCGATGAGCTAAAACTAAACTATTTTTTACTTTATCAGATAAGGCCCACCGAGCCATATATAGCTATTCTTCAGAAGCGACTTGGCCACAAATGATAGCCCAATGAAGTGGCTTATCACGTGGAAATGTATAGCAGCCAAATACTCTTAATTGAATGTTGATTCTATACATGGAGGGGAAAAACCGGAGGGGCCCGGAAAAAAATCCACGTCACTACGGACATCAGGGTCGGGACTGAAAACGTATACCAGGCAAGGTAGTTAACATCTCGCCACCGTGGCGCCCCATTACACCGGTCGGCAGGGTGATTGCCGATTGCTGCAGAGGTTCGTGGTTCGAGCCCAGCGGCCGCCCTGGTTCATGCTGGAGGTGCATTAACCAAAAATATACGCCGGCCGTATGCTTCGCGGGGTACATTAAAAGATTCCGTAACTCTATTTGAAACAGAAGGCAACAGAGGCGTTCGTCATCATATGTTGGTGTAAATATAAAAATTTGCCAAAAATGTTTAATTACTATGAAGTTATATTCTTGGTTCTTTCGGTAAAGTCACGTAGAAGGTAAGCAATAAAATAATATAAAATAATATAAATATATTATAATAGATATAATATATATTTATATTATTATATATTATAAAATATATATATAATTTTATTATTTTCCTTCTACATGACTTTACCGAAAGAACCAAGAATATGAATCCCTGCAGTCACGAAAGCTTTAAATCTAAATTTACTATGAAGTTATTTAATTTTGTAATAAGGTTACCCCCCTGCTGAGACTATGCTCATTTGTGAAGCATAGCCACCATAATCATAAACTTGCGTTATAACAATGGCGCGAATACCAACTGCTATCATTTCTATGTATTATTAGCAGTGAAAGTCTGGTATAGCTGAACAGGCTGTGTTAATACGAGAAATATGTGGTCTTCTACCTCACCCTCAATTTGTATCTTGCTAATAGGACAGATTTGTGTACATAAATTCGACATTATTATATCCCAACTGATACCTCTCACCATTCAAGGATTTATTTTTGATATGTTTAAACCAATTACAATTGATCATCGATTATCCGGCTTCCAACATTATCCGGCAGTACCCGGGCTGATCCGGCAAAACCACTCCAGTCCTGCAATCGTCAAACACGTGTTGTTGAAACAAGAGTGAAGTGCGTATATCAACCCATGTAGTCTTCGAGACTGGAGTGGCAAGTCGTCACTTTTTACCGTAGGATATTTATTTGTATCTATTTGTATATTTACTTGTGCCAATTTCATATGTAAACATTCAAAACACAAAAAACATATATACAACACCTAAAACGTAATGTTATGCAAGAGTGTAAATAAAGAAGCTATTTTAAAGAGTGATTAGTGCTTATCTGGCACCCCCTTCCCCCTCCCGAAGTCGCCATGATGATCTACTATGCTGTAAGATTTTATTTGGTTGTACCATTATTTTGTATTCTCTTTTGTAACCAAGCTCTCCCTTGAAAAAGACTTGTCCTCTTAATGGACTCTCATTGGGTTATAAAGACTTTATTTAACTTAATTTCTGTTTATTTACAGCTTAAAAAAAAAGCCAACGACTTTATAAAATTAGCAGTGACGACTGAACTCAATTCCGAGTTGGAATAAAATTTAATGGCAGTGCAAACACAAGGCAAAATTCTAATTAACTTACTTTTAACAGATGCCACATCTGAGCTCAGTGACACGAAAACTATTCTTCACCAATAAATGAAGCAGTGAGAAATGCCACACCGATCACTCGTGCTTGTGAATGAGCCATGTTACAATTAATAAGCGTAAAACCACGTTGTGAAATTCAACAGCACGTAGACGTAATATTTTTCGATCTTAGCAATGTCCCGTACACAAACATGATGTTCCTTCACCAGGAAGCAAAGTACAACGTGGGTTTTCCTGCAAAAGACATCTGGCTTAAACTATAAAAACAGAATTAGCTGTGAAAAATTACTCGTGTGCATTGTACGAGGAAATGGATGGATACTGAATGTTTAATTTGTTACAATGCGTGAATGAGTGTATTTCTTTGTACGGTGTTTGTTGTGTTTATCGAGGTGTGGGCATTTTGTTCACAAATTAAACCACTTTACATGGCACGAGAAGCATGGTAAAATAACATTAGCGGGAGAATTTACATGGAAATATAGGTACCATATTTCTCCACTTCTTATTGATAAATACACAGCTCAATCAATGCTTAATTTTTATAATGGCACTAAACTGTTCATTGTTGCACTTCACTCAAAACCAAGTAAGACCCACTGAGTAGAATACCTTTTTCAGAAGCAACATGGCCACAAATGATGACTCAACGAAGATGATTATCGTGTGGAAATGTACAGCAAATACTCTAAACGGGTGTTTCTAAATGTGGAGGGAAAAACAGGAGGATCCGGAGAAAAATCCACGCGACCACAGGGAGAACATGCAAACTCCAAATATAGAGGCATCAGGGTCGGGGGATAGAACCCACAACCTACTGCATACCAGGCGAGGTAGTTAACATCTCGCCACCGTGATGATCATAGTTACTGTTGGAGTAAAACAATACAAAGACAGGTCTCCCCTGTATAACCTTAACAGATGTTTTGGGGCAAGTGCTGTTTGCGAGCACCTATGAATGCCGGGCACGGCACACCACGACAGAGCCACTACACGCTGCAGTCATGCGGAGCAGCCAGAGCAGCCGCGTTCCCCTTCTCACCTCACGAGCGTGTCTGCGCCGGGCCCCTTCGGACTGAAGTAGAGGACTCTCTCGAGGCTGAGGGAGAACTTGAGGCCCTCACGCTCGGAGATGTAGAGGTTCGTGAGGCCACCCTCGTGGTTGACGCACACGAACACCTGGTCCTCGGACGCGTCCGCAATGTAATACTCCTGCCAGGGGACGTGTGGCCAAACGAGCATCGGGGGGGGGGCAACAAAAACAGACCGTGGATTAACCGCTGGGCAAAGGCGTTTGTTTTGGGTGAAAAATAAATGGGAATAATTAAAAATGTACGATTTTATTTTGTGTGCTTCCAGCTACTTTTGTCATGGTTAATGAGCAAAATAATAATAGTAATAATAATAGTTCAATTTATAAAGCGCACAAATTTGCAGACGTAGTGGCCGCAACTCAGAGGTGAAAATTTTAACTGGAATTCGAATCTATTGCGAATTTAAAATTAAGGTTTTCTTATAATTTAAGTATGAACACAGCATTGTAATGGATACAATTACTGTGCTAGTGGATTTACAGCATACCGAAGAGATGAAGGTGTATACTGGCTATTGAAAGTTATAAAATGCTTTTTCCCTCCTGCACTGACCAGCGTGGGGAAGTATGTTCATATAATTCCCGTGATCGTTTTGTGTAAAGACTCTCATCCAGCAGTGGGTGCATGCATACAATGCTTAACAGTTGGGAGTGAAGCAAATCAATTTAAACACACACTTAGAATGTTTATTTTAAGAATGAATGTAAGAGACAGACACGTGATAATTTTACAATGGTGCAAGGGGTCATTTGTTAACATTTTCACGAGCGGAAAGGTACCAGCGGGGCAACGTACGTTGACCTTTTAAAATACCATTAATAATCGTTAACCACTACATTTACAGCAAAGCACTATTGCCATGGCAGTCACATTCTCCTGGAGCCCAGCGAGCCCTTTAGTACATAAATTACCTTGTGGGCCATGCACCGCAAATGCAAGAACACCCTATTTATGTCCCACACTTAAGTGCACATTTGAAAAATGAGGCCGTTCTATAGCCATATCACAGTACTGTCATGCGCACATGCGATTCTCTATTAACTTTTTGCTGCTGCTGCTGCTGCGAACCATATATATTTACAATGAATACATAATATTTCTCCCCCTTAGTGCACTCACGAAAGTCAGGAGGATGCCAAGACACAATAAGGATTTTAGTAAATAAATTTTTGCCGGGTATTAGGTACATTTTATTTAGTTGGAAAATATAAAAACAAATGACCCCCCCCCACCCCCCTTTGATGACGGGGTCTCAGCACCGCCATCTCCAACTCACCACAATTGGGTGTTTGGTTCGGAATTGAGAGGAGCGCAATGGCTTGCGATTGTGGGAGACCCAGAGTTGAACAGAGCGTGGGTATTTGGATCCCACCAGGTGCTGTTGGATACACAGTCAGAGGCCAGAACAGGAGAGAAAAAAAAACCCCACACCGAAGTGTCAATCGCCAGAACCAGAAAGGTGCACCGAGAGATTCGAGAGAAGGTTGTGGCCGTAACACGACATGCACCGCAGCTCAAGTTTGTAAAAAAAAAAACAAGAGTGCGAACACTGGTGCTTAGCACCATTTGTGTTTAATAGCTTACATGCTGCGGTGAATGTCGGTTATTTTTGTAGGTCAGTGCACATCACATGCCCATTCATAAATGGTCCAATAAAAAAAGTGTCCAAGGCTTTGCAGCCAATTGACAATGTGTCGGATATTCCCATGAGGGATGTACAAATTAGGGCCAAATGGTAATATTTTTCCAATAAGTTATTACTTTTAAAGTTGCAAGGATATGTTCAGACCTACTACACTGGCCAAAGTAGGAAGGGGAGATGGAGTATGAGAATATTTTCTCCTTCGACCACGATGCCTAGACCAAGAGCTATACCTTGTTCTTCCAGTTGTGGTTGAAGATGGCCTGTTCAAACGGTCGTCTTACGTACGACACCATCAGCACAACAGAGCTGTTATGTTGCTGCAAAGTAGGCAGTTAAAGCAAATTTACACAAAAATATCCTATTAATATTTTGATTACATACCAGTAATACCATACTGTACAAACATTGCAATTTAAACCTGTCACTAGACTTTAAAATATCAATATGCGACAGCAGTCCAACATCCATACATAAATACATGTTGATTATTTGGAATATCATCTACAAATGTGTCACGTGTATCAACAGATATGGCAAAGGCTGTGTTTTGAGCTAAGGAAGTTTGTATGGCATGGTAAAATGAAACCGAGCTCTGTGTGGAAGCATAACGTCTCCAAATTACCTTAAATAAGAACAGAGACAAGCTTCGTTGGCAAAATGAGCACTCGTGTGTTGCAGGCTTAAGCCACTCAATGATATTGTTCCAAAATATGCTTGCCATATATACAGTTTATCTCTAAGTTTCTAATTTTTGAGAAAACATTAAGTAAATCCCTTTCAATACATTTATGTTCATCTACACAGTGCAAGCTGAATTTTGCTATGATTAAACTACACAATGAAAGCATAGTTTTTACTATATTTATAAAAATCTGTACAAGTACGATTGTACACATTTATGCTAAACTGGTCCTGCCACTCTCCCTCCCTCTTTACTCAGCCACAGTGGTGAAGTATGGTCAAACAACCCCTGTGACCAAGAAGACAGCAAGGCGAGGCCTTCATCAAGCAGCAGTTTTGCAAAGGCCTGTGAATCTTTAAAATAAGCCTTTGATATCCAAGTGTTGAGGATAAATACAAATCGAAGAAAAAAAAATAACTTCATGCCAAACCAACTTGAAATGGAATACTGCAAAAACTATCAAATCCAAATGAAGCGGACACGATGCCATTAATTGTTTACCACTCCGAGAAATAATATCCTGTAATCATACCGAATATAACGGACATATAAAAAAAAAATCACATTTGATGACATTTTATGTTCACTAAAATTAATCTCGGTCCCGAAGGTACGCCGAGTGGGGAGTGTGTAATGCCACGTTAAACCCTTTCCCATTCCAATGACGTCCATGTACGTCAAACTAAAACATGCGAGAGGGCATGTGCTATCGAGTGCAGTCGTGTGGCTGCAGTTCTCTGCGGTGAGTAACGATGTACTCTTAGTTCTTTCGGTAAAGTCACGTAGGTAAAAAATGAAATAAAAATTAATAAAAACGAAACAATAAAATCACGACGTTTCGGAGGCAACACAAGTCTCCGTCATCAGGTGGGACCGTCAAGATGCAGCAAATCTGGCATCTTGATGCCGCAAATCTGGCTGTGACGGTCCCACCTGATGACGGAGACTTGTGTTGCCTCCAAAACGTCGTGATTTTATTGTTTTATTTTTATTAATTTTAATTTAATTTTTTACCTACGTGACTTTACCGAAAGAACTAAGAGTATGAATCCTTGCAGTCACGAAAGCTTCAAATCTAGAGTAACGATGTCTTTAAAAACAACGGCGCTATGCCTCTCTAAATAAAATTAACACTGAACCACAGGAAGGCTACGAACTGTTAGTAGCCTATCCTGTTTGAGTGCATTACACTTTGGGGGCAGCCAGGCCACAAGATGGCAGTACAACAGAAGCAGAGGTGCGCGCTGACCACACAGGGCTGGTCATGACGCAGTTACTTACCAATGTGAATTGAAAACAACTACTGTACAAATGACCTGTGTTCCACACTCATCACTTTAACACAACAAGGTATAAACAGTCAGAGTTAAAGGCGACGTTTATGAACGTGATGCCTTTGGGTGTTTGGATCACATAATAGAATTGTGTTCATACAAAATACATTAATTATTGTGCGATGTCCTGCTTAAATGTTTGCATGTGAAATTCCTCTATCTTCTTATAAACAGCGCTACACAATACTGTAATCAGAGGTGGGAGAAAGTCATTGTTATGCAAGTCCAAGTCGAGTCAGAACTCATCAAATTCATGACTCGAGTCTGACTCGAGTCCAAGTCACATGACTCGAGTCCACACCTCAGAGGTGGGACAAAGTCATTGTTATGCAAGTCCAAGTCGAGTCTGAAGTCATCAAATTCATGACTCGAGTCTGACTCGAGTCCAAGTCACATGACTCGAGTCCACACCTCTGACTGTAATACTTCGGGCAAAAAGGAAAGGTTAAGACATTTTGTAAATGAGTACGTGTCAGCTAACTTAAATCTAAAAGTTAGCCATGAACACAAATGTATCTTTAACATTAGGACTACAGGGGTATTAAATGACAACTTATAAGTGGCACTAACAAAGTAAGGTTACGGAATTGCCAATCACACCACTTCCTCAAATATATATCACTGCCCAATAAACACAATAAATTCCTCGTTGTTACTGTGTTACCACAAACTAGTGGTCAAACAGGTTTCTCATTTTAGTTTATATTTTTAGTTAGCTTTTGGGGTGATGTGGGGTTCTCAAAACGTATATAAACTATAAAACTACACTATTTTTATTTTAGCAGAGCTATATAGCTCTTTTTCAGAAGCGACCTGGCCACAAACGATAGCTCAACGAAATGGCTTACTTATCATGTTGAAATTTATAGCAGCCAAATCAAACACTCTAAATGCATGTTGATTCTAAATGTGGAGGGAAAAACCGGAGGACCTGGAGAAAAATCCACGCGACCATGGGGAGAACACACGCAAAATCTACATATACAGACGTCAGGGTCGGAATTGAACCCATGACCTCCTGTATACCAGGCGAGGTAGTTAACATCTCCTAGCCACCGTGGCATTTGGGCAAACAGCAGGATAATGTCCTATTGCTTTAATGGTAAAACAAAGTTAGTGGGTTCTCTGTACCATGAAAACACACTTGAACAGTATTGTACCTCCCCATCTGTGGTGACCTAGGTTTGTAAACCATTTCCTGGTGACCGCAAATGTATGTTCATTGTATCACCCACGCTTCAGAAGCACAACACAGCTGTAGAGACCGGGCAAATTTCAATGTCACCTTCAAGTTTACAGTTGTATCCTGTTGACATGTTCTGGTTTAATTTTTGAAAAATCCAAGGCATTTCCCTCCAAATGAAAAAACAAGATGTATACTCAAATATTCTAAGTCCAGGAAGCGTTTTTGTTGAAATGAAATAACTTTGAAAACTACGTCAACATGGATTATACAAATCATTGTGAAGTTAAGGTGCCATTTTTTCCACGTTAACCAAAGCAGTTTTGGCTTCAGGACAAACAATTAAATCGTGAAATGCTTGCACTGGCCGTAAGTGTGAGCGAGCTAGGGCGAGGCACGGGGGGGGGGGGGGGGTGCACGAACCACAGTCTTCGTAGCGAACATGTAGCTGTCCCGGAGCTGGAAGTCATCGACCCCCTGCAGAAGCACGTGCTGCTTGGTGGCATCCTGGAAGAAGTCATCGCTGCGGAGGATGGTTGAGGTGTTTGTTGGCTCCAGGCGCTCCACGTACACAACATTCTCCTCGTCGTACGGCTCTATGCCCCTGCGTGAACGTGGCACAACACACGCTGGTCTCGATACGTTCATCCGTTTCACCAATGTATGTACGGGGAGTCCTCTACTTACGAACGTAAAAAAGGTGTAAGTTTTGTTGCCAGATAAATAGGGTAAAAAAAACAATTATCATATTTTGTTACTGGAAAATGGAGGTTTCAATGGTGTAAATGCTTACCCCGAGCTCTCATACTCTGATGGGTCATTGTCCTTGAGTTGTGTGCCTTTTGGCGTCAGCTGGTCCAACACCATGTGAGACTAGGCTCTAAAGAAAGCTGTCTCGTGTGTGGACCAATCAATTTCAAGGACAGTGCATACATTATCAGAGTAATGTTTTTTGCTTGCATTCCGACTGCAGGTATTGTGGTCAATGCAAACATGACTCCTTGTAAAAAAGGTGTCAGTTTTGTTGCCAGATAAAAGGGTAAAAAACCAATTATCTTACAGAGGTCTGTTTGTAAGTATATTTGTCCGTAAGTCCAACTTTACTCCTGTCGATTCCAAACATACACTAAACACAGGGAATGGCTTTAAAAGTTGTATAAACTCCTGTAGATGAAGATGCCACTGGTTATTCATGTTCTGCACGTGTAAATGCCACCTCCGTAATCTATTGCGTGGCGGTTGAACTTGTCATTCTCGCTCCGAACAGGAAAATGGACATAAGACAGGTTTGTTCGTGTATTTGAAAGTTTGTAAGTCGAATGTTCCTAAGTAGAGGAGTGCCTTTATGTTGAACTTCTTTCACACTGTACATAGCCAACCATGCGAAATTGGAGGTGCGGGGTAAGGCCAACAAACTAAACACAAACAGGATTTCTAAAAAACTCAGTTTTCTATCTAGGGGATTTAAAAGTGCATAGCTCCAGTGGCTTCCTAATATTAGAGCTGTTGGATGAAGGACCCCTCCTACTGCCCTCCCCCACAGGCCGAGTTGATTTTGGATGTTGCTTGAAAGGACTTTATCATGCTAGACAATGTCGGATGATGAAGGAGGGGTGTGTGCTGGCACTGGTTCAGACATCACTTGCCACTCATGGTAGCCACAGTCAGGAACTGAACTTGGGTCACCGGGTTCATGAAACGGTCCACGAAACATTACACCACCGCTAATGAATGCTATAAAGCAACCATCAAGGCGTGTCAATGGCCCGCCCTGACACATCGCCACATATTTAGAAATATACACACACAAAATAAGTGCAATAATCACATAGGCTGCTTTCAAATCTAGTCCACTGATAAGCACCTTGCAGTTCTGACAATACACCAACAATAGCCATGGAATAGACGGAGCTAATTTATTCCTGTTGGCGGCTAGGCAATCCTTGTGCACAGCTGCAACAATGTGGTTGAAATATTCAGTCTTAGTTCGGGAATGACACACATCCTTGCAGATTATATCTGCCAGATGACAGGATATCTAAAGGGCAAGGACTGTTGTCAAAAGCGCATGCTATAAATGAATGCAGTATAACATGCTGGCGGGAAGAGAAGGAAGCCTACAGCAAAGGAACACTGCTTCCGTGTTGAGGCTGAGATTAAGGTCGTGTCCTCCAGCTATCATTCATGCAACAGGCAAGGTTATGCATGTTTACAAAAGCGTAGATTAATTTAAAACCACAAATATGCGTTAGTGCCGAGTACGCAGGCATAGGTTAAAAACGCAAGATGTCATGAATAGATCGGATTTTAAGTCAGACATCTTAAGTGTCTTTACTAAAAATATCTATGCAAAACATCACAAGAATGTGAAAAATGAAAAAATACGTAAAAAATAGATTGTTTACTGCACAGACCGGTAAAGCATGTTTAAAAACAAGAATAGTGCTGACAAAGCCAGAATGTCAGAATTTAAGTTTCTCTTTTACGCTTGCAAATAAAACAAATACCGTACTTCCAAATCAAGTAAAGTACTATTACCATAAATAATGAAAAAAAACGCCATATTCTGGGAAAAAGCACTCCCCCAACGTTTTGAATGTTCACATTACATTACGCAGCGCAAGCGCAGCCGATTGGGAAGTGCAATAACACCGCTGCTGCACACGAAAACAAACGGGCTTAACTTGGGGCATGCGCTCTAACACTAATGGTACGTGACAGCTGCAGGCTGGTGGTCTATGCTGAAAAGCCAACCACACACCCGGGCACCGTTCCAGACACGGCCAGATGGATTGCAGTTGCACCTATCCCCCAACCTGACGCGCACCACCCTCTCAAAGCTTCTGCCTCTACGCCAGTCCAGACAGACCAATAGCCGAGGGAGCACACAGCTCCGAGTAGTGGATCCCACTTAATGTCACGCTCTGTGCGAGCTAAAGAGCACACGCATCAGCACAGGTGGTTTCAACGTAAAGTTGACAAGTCAAGCTGTTCATTTCTATGCAGGCTCTAGCACAGCGCGTAACAATAACACGTGGTCTTCGTATAGAAAATAAATAGCACGAATCTTCTAATGTGTAAGTTATTATATTTAGTTTTTCTAGAAAATATTCCAGAAAAATTAAGAGATGTCAAAATAAAAACCATACCATATATATGTTTAAGTCAGTGTGCACTTACTGCTGTGTGACATGATTCAAGAAAACAGTAGCTAGAAATATAGAACAAAAACTGAAAGCATGAGGATGCATCCTTGAAATGACACAGACATACAAAGAGAAACACGTGGCTTGGAGAACGTGTGCTGGTTAATGATATAGTTAACAACTTTATCCAGAAAAGTGGACTTGAAAATGTCACGAGATGGGATGATGGCTGATATCGGGTATAATAACTGGGTAGCAGCGAAAGAATGGCAAGAGAATATCTACGTAGGAGATAGAATCATGAAATCAATTGGTGTGCTAGTTTGAAGTACATTATTGTGTAATTGGTTTGTCAGGTGGAGGGAGAGCTTGGGGAGGCCTTCATCCAGCAGTAAATAGACCATGGCCGAACATAATATAATTAGCCTTTTGTATACGTTCTATTCTATAATTTGAAGTTTTCGTGACTGCAAGCATCCATACTCTTTGGTTCTTTCGGTAAAGTCATGTAGGTGAAAATAAAAAGATGACGGAGGCTTGTGTTGCTTCCAAAACGTCGTGATTTAATTTAGTTATTTTAATTTTCATTATTATTTTATTTTCACCTACGTGACTTTACCGAAAAAAACAAAAAGAGTATACGTTGTATGTCTGTAGAACTTCTTTCGCACTGTACGTAGCCAACCGTGCTAATCGGAGGTGCGGGTAAGGACAACAAACTAAACAAAAAAGCAGTTCTAAACAAAAGAGTTTTCAATCTATACAAGATGACTAAGGCACACATTACACTGCATATTTAAACTAATGCATATGCAATGTCATTTTTGTTTTACCAATTAAAATGGATTAAGACCCATATTTCTCAACGATGCCATTTATAGCATACATCACAGTTTAACAGCAGATTATAGTAGTTTACAGAGGAGAGGTAGGGCAGTGGTTAGCGCACCGCACGTTGAGGCTGGTTACCAGAGTTCAATACCCGGCCACGGCTAACATCAGTGGCGAGCAATGTCTTAACTGGTCACACGAACCCCGTTCACCAACCCCGCAATGGACCAGTGTGGTCAAGTGAGGTCAAACTAACATTTAATGCATTATGCTATTCCATAATCTTAAAGTAAAAAAAAAAATACCAGACGTAATATAAATCAGTCGTGGATGAACTTGACAATATATCAGAAAAATAATACGCGCGTGATTTTTCACGTAAGGTTAAAACACGAGTTCAATTGCTTACCAGTAGTAGGACTTTACTTTTTCATGAATTAGTGTCCAACTCTCACCAAAATTGTCTGACTTCCAAAGCTGAAAGAGGCAGAGGAGAAAAAAACATGTCTGAAAATTTAAAAAACCTATACATGAAAAATATACAGTTAAACCTCGTTATTTCGGTATTTGATCATTCGTAATTGGGGATAATTCGGCACGTGTGCGCTTTCGGCATATCCAGTATATTAGTAATTCGACATGAGCCGAATTTCCGTAATGAATGATCCAATTTCGGCACACACGAAGCGACGCCGCGCGCCCCACGACCAAAACAATGACTCAGTCGAGTGGCGGCACGCGTGGTGACCATTAGTGCAGACCTGTTGCTTTGGACTTTACCTTGTTTATGCGCTCTGCAAGTCCAGTAAGTGCATACCGAGTGCATTAAGACCCCCTCCACACAACCTCTGTAACATACCACATGGAACCTATGACATCCTCCTCCTTCGCCTGCAATGCTGGTTACTGATGGTGTTACTTTTTGGGGGGAAATAATTTTTGGGAAACAAATTTGGATTTATTTTTATTGGTTGCAGGAGGGACTGGGGGATAACAATGCGCATAATTCGGAACATTGGATAATTCCGCAAAGCCGGCGCCCCATGTGTCAAATTAACAAGGGTTTAGGGGCCGTCCATAAATTATGTCATGCACCTGGTGGGGGGGGGGGGGTCAGACATGTGTGACGATGTGTGACGAGGGGGGGAGGGTGAGAAATGTGACATCACATCAAAATGCGCAACTTTAAATAAATAGACAACACAATCTACTTAATTAAATAGACTTTTTAATAAATGTTTTCTCCTACAACATCAGAGTGCAGCGCCACATTAAATACACACCACAATGACAATAGTTTAAAGCGATTTAAAGCATGTTTTATTTTCAAAGTGGAAATATGGTTTTCGGGGGGGGGCAGAGCTTTGTGACGTCGTATTTGAGGGGGGTTCTGACTTTGTGACGCCATGTGATGAGGGGGGGGGGGGGTCAAAAATCGTCCAAAATCACGTGATGTCATTTATGGACGGCCCCTTACTGTAAATAGAGTTAATTTAAAAACATGGGTATATCTCATACGTCTTCTCTGTGACAATAAAAAACACTTTTTTTCCAACCTACAGCACACACCACTGGTAAAAAGGCTTTGACAAATATGAGGTTAACCAGTTCAGGGGAGCCTGTGTTTACATAGGTCTTGAAAACCAATCTGGTGGGGTAATGCCATACAAGCACCATTACCTTACAATCGAACAGGTGTCACAAACTGGTTTACTTTGCATTATAGGCATTGGAGATACCATCTCTTAGCCAGCAGCAGAAACCTACTACGCAGTATAAAGTGGTAATGGTGCTTGTTGTGAGGTCATGGAGGGTTATGAGTAATACTCAAAAAATTTAACTCGCAAGTTTTAACAAAGCAATCACGAGGTGAATGTTTTTCTCATGTATATCACGTTTATTTATATTTGTTTTTTATATGTGTAATAGGTAAGTGTGTATGGAACTCCACATGACTGTATAATAATATAAATTAGCTTACAAGCCTATGCCTGATTAAATAAACCTTGCTGGCAAATATTGGTATCAGATGGTTCAAAGCTGGTGGACCAAAATGGTATTATATTTTAGTGGAGACAATATCAAGTTGTCCATCCACTTGAGTCAGGCGGTTAAATGTTATACACAATTCAACATTTCCAGAGAATAACATTTCCAGCTCAAGTATTGTACCTTCTCCAATGAACCACTGGAATAACAAACTCGACAAACTTAAAATAACCATGGTACTTTGCAAGCCTACTGGCTATCAACAAAGAATCGTTCATTAAGCCATCCATATATACAGACACAGACAATTTCAACCGAGAGGATGGTTATGAACTTGGCAATCATTGGAAAGATGTCATCAACCACTTTGGGTCATGACTTGATTTGTGTTTTCTTGTCAACCTCCACCGTCAGCAGTGTGGGTGTGTGGAGCGAGGTGCAATGATTGCCTGGCGGCCCTTTGATTGGTGGAGACCCACTGTCGGTTTACTTGTTTTCTCCAAAATTAACATTAGCTGCCCCGCCCATGCTGCTGACACACTTGGGCTACGCCCAATTACAAACCTTTATAAACAGTTTGCCTTTAGGAGGTGAACCATCGTGTTTTTAAATCCTTTATATTAAGTTCGCTTGCGTGCTTGCTTGCTTGCTTACGACCGTGCAAACCTTTCGGTCGTTTTTTAACCCACTTCCCGTGATCCAATCGAGCTGACATTTTGCACACAGACTCGTTGTGCGAGACAATTAATGTTCGTGAATATTTTTTTCCAAAATTTTACACTGTTTAGGGAAAAGAAATTAAATATTTAATTACCAATTGTTTAATACTGCAGACAATCATCTGACCCATAGGTGGCAGCCATCTCAAGCCAGAGGACGAGAGGACTCTAGCCGCCACGCATATAAAGGATTTAGAGAGAAAAACTTTGTTTTTACTGGTTATACTTATTTCATTTTCTTTATTTGTATTCACTTTATTTATTATTATTTTTCTATCTAACCAAAGAATATAAAAAGTCACGTAGAAGGGAAGTAATAAAATAATAAAAATAAAACATAATAAAATAATTCTCACGACGTTTCGGCCACAACGCAAGTATCCGTCCTCAGGTGAAGACCATGAAGCACTCGCGCGTTAGAGTGCAAAACTAATTAAATAAACCGATGGCGACGCTATGTAAAGTAGGGCAACGCATGCACAAACGCAGCACAAAAGCGCACGTACAAACCTGTTTGTCAGCGTGAGAGGAGTCGTATCCTAGGACCAGGTTTGGGTTCTTGTTATGCAGCAGCAGATCAGTTGGACGGAACGGGCAGGAGAAGTTTTTGACCGTCTGCCCAAAGTCGTTTGTCATCCACAGGTAGCTGTGCAAGGTGTCTGTGAATATGTACTGCACAGGAAAGTATGTGGCCTTGAGTAGAATGCAAGGTATTAGGCGAAGTGCACACCATACATTTTACAAAATGAGGCTAAACATTTTTTATGCAATTCAGTATCATGGGGAAGGGCACACAGTTAATGGGCTTTGTGGCTGTCAATGGCTGCTGGTAAACTAAACATTCACTGTAAATATAACAAGCAAATGTTTACACGTAGAATTAATTCATTTCTGTGGACACAACCTCACAACTTGTGTAACAAAAAAAAACCTATCCCCAAAACAATTTTGTGGAAGTAGCTCATTTCCTGGCCATTTTAGACTTCCTAGCCCCCCTATTTTTAACAGATGACATTTCTTTTAAAAAAGCCCTAATATGCATTGCACAAAAGTATTGTTTAACGAGGGATACCTCAATATTCGCACAGGTACTCTGCAAAATGTAAAATGGCAAAAGAATGTACAATCCTTTGCCAATCCACTGCTGGATGATGCCCTCCCCACACTATGGGGGCTTATATTCAGATTCCAAAGAACACAGGATGAGATGTTACTATCCTTTGTGCAAGCACTTCCAAGAGTTCATGAACAGTGAGCCTGGTGAAATTTGGGGAGCGCATCGTCAGTAGTGAACCTTTGGTTCCTAGGGTGTATCGGCCTTTCATACTATACACCCTCCCCAAAGGCGGCCAGCGACAGGGTGATCAATCCTACGCTTGCGTCCCATTCCCAATTAGTCATAGGAGTTGCCTTGTTGTTGATAGCCAACATCCCATGGGACTATGCATGGCAGGGGTGTCCTCCTCCCTGAGTCAAGCATTGTTGATTGCATACCTCCTGGCCCTCTCACTTTGGGGCCCAGCTGGGGTCTTTCCTCTTCATCCAGAGCCACTGACTGCTGACCATATTTCACCAGGCTGGCCGGTGTGCGTTCAAGGTCATGGTGAGAACTCAGGACTGGTTTTCAGCTATCCCTTGACATTGATGTTATCTGTTGCCAGGAAGCAAACTAGGATCTTTGAGTTCATGGTGTGCTAATAATTGCACCACTGTCCCCCTGGTTACATTTACTAATAACCCGTATAGAAAAATAAACCCCTAAAGATTTCCCACTCAAGCGGGGAAAACTTAAAAACGATGTTTAAATGAGTCAAGCTCTCGCAATAATGTCCCAACTAATGAAGAACATCGTAGTTTGACGATCGCTTTGGCTTGATGCGTGGCTTCTGCAGGCCATGGAACGAAGGCACCGCAATTGCTGAAAGAGCGTGAAACGTCACATTTGCTTACTGACGATGAGCGTCATGAAATGCGGGATGAAACCGAGGTAACAAAACTGTATCTGAGAAAAACAGGTGTTCAAAGAGTGGATACTCACCCTCCGGTTGTCAACAGGGCTGTGGTAGAACTGCGCAATGACGGTCTCGCTGCCGTTCGGTAAGCGACTGAAGTTGGTCTGGATATTTTTATACGAATAGCCATAGTCATAAGACACGTAAACCTAGAATGAAAAGCACATCACACGGGAGTCATAAATACTGTTTTAGAAAGACGTGTATTCAAGTGTTAAACATTTTAAACATTCAAAACACTGTAATGCTGAATTGAAATAATTTTAGCTTATTGTATTTTGAAACAAATTTTTTTCAACTGTTAAATATTTACACGAAGAGAGAGCTGGTATTTTAAGAGGTCATGGACACTGCATTTCTCCCTGTAACCATGAAACAAAACATGGCCTTGTACAAGGTACGCACCCCCATGATGCATTGCATAATTGTATGAAAATTCATAGCTGTCGCACAGCTATGGTTTTAATAAGTTAATATTTGACATACAGTACTGGATATTGAAATGCATGAGGGTTCCTCAAATATAAATTACATTATATCATTTGTACGCAAGTCGTTAATCTGCATGTATCTTTGTCCCGATAATTATTCCTCGACCTCCACACTATTGATAATTGGTTTTTTACCCTTCTATCTGGCAACAAAAAACTGACACCTTTTTTACAAGGAGTCATGTTTACATAGACCACAATACCTGCAGTCATAATGCAAACAAAAAACATAACTCTGATAATGTGCACTGTCCTTGAAGTTGATTGGTCCACACCTGAGACAGCTTTCCTTAGAGCCTAGTCTCACATGGGTTGGACCAGATGACGCCTTTTGGCGTCATCTGGTCCAACCCATGTGGCGTCATCTGGTCCAACCCATGTGAGACTAGGCTCTAAGGAAAGCTGTCTAGGGTGTGGACCAATCAACTTCAAGGACAGTGCACATTATCAGAGTTATGTTTTTTGTTTGCATTATGACTACAGGTATTGTGGTCTATGTAAACATGACTCCTTGTAAAAAAAGGTGTCAGTTTTTGTTGCCAGATAGAAGGGTAAAAAACCAATTATCATATTTTTACTGGCAAATGAGGTTCCAATGGTGTAAACTCCACACTATTTTCAACGAACGTGGTGTCATTGCAAATCTTGTGATACGTAGTTGAAGCAAATGAGGTGAAAATTCACATTTAAAAATGTATCTTTGACCAGATCATTTGAACAATTATCCCTGACACTGTATATCAGACCATCAAAAATAACATCCCAGCAAATTACGTTCTGGGTTATTGCATAAACTGGTGAGTGCTGAGGGTCAGCCGTGCAGATGAATGGCGAGTGGCACCAGGTGAGTGGTGACTACGTGACGAAAGGTAAGTGGGTGTCATGTGTCACGTCCGTCCATAGAACGGGCTGCCCAGTAGCTTGTGCACAATGATTCAGGTTTATATGAAATATAATTAGGTTGGGATCCATTTCTTTTTTTAAAATCTCGCTCGCAAAACTCTCCGATGCCCTTATTTACAGTTAATGTTCAGGTGCTGGGTGTATTGTTGCATCATTGGATTGTAAACGTTATCAGCAGCCTGGGAAGGCCTTTATCCAGCAGTGAATTGACTGTGGCTGCTGATGTCATTTCATTTTTGACACCAACTATAATGCTGCAGGGTGATGAAATTACATACAAAATCTCACAGATCCATCACATACTGAGCAGTGGGTTAAGCGTGGCATAAAATGATAACTCTTCTTTGGGTGAGAATTATTTTATTATGTTTTATTTTTATTATTTTATTATTTCCCTTCTACGTGACTTTACCGAAAGAACCAAGAAGATGAATCCCTGCAGTCACGAAAGCTTTAAATCGAAATCTTCCTTGGGTCTTTCGGTAAAGTCACGTAAATAGGTTCATCCTGATGACGACCGCTTGTGTTGCGATCGAAACGTCGTAGTTTTTGTTATTTTCTTTGAACCTATCTACGTGACTTTACCAGAAAGACCCAAATAATATGAATTCCTGCAGTCACGAAAGCTTTAAGTCAAGAATAATAACTAATTAAAAAACTGTCAAGTCAAGCTGAAACCAACAACAAAAAACCGAACATCTAAAAATGCATCAATTAATAATATAGGTGATGGTAAAAACACGAATAACCAAAGTGGGGGATGAACCAAAATGGGTGTGATGATTTGCCCAGGCGGTCCAATAAATGGTTGCGATTCTGGGTCGCGATTCTACTCAATAATAGAGTTACTTTAACAAAAAAATGTAGCAGCCTCTATTAAAGAGGGCTCATGTGACCCCAAGTCAAAATTAAATCGATGAATCATAGAAACAAGCCCATTGCACCATTTCTATATGAAAAGTAATACATATTTAAATGGTTAAGTAGGCCGACATGAAGATTGGCAAATGAAGTATTGCAACACCATCCAAAGATGTTTCATTCGAAAAAGCTGCGTGCCACCAATATAACATAATGATATTGCCGTCAGCTGCGTGAAATGCTCTAATATTTGTACATTTTCCCATCATAGTGCTACCCATGTCCCACAATGTTAGTGCACTGCACTTGAAATGTATCAGCACATCTCAAAAAGGAACAGCATGTGACTTCAAACCATCACATAGTAAAATTGTGATTCATGGGTAGAACAGGGGCATGGATGAAAAAATGTGTTCTCGCAGATAATATGAGTCGAGGGTAACGCAACTGCAGATAGGTACAGTTCTTCCACATACATGCATAGGCAATCATGAGCCATACTTTTCAGCCAATACATTGTGTTGCGATCGAAACGTCGTGGTATTTTCCTTTTATTTTAAATTGTATTTATTTTTATTTTTTATTTTCTATCTACGTGACTTTACCGAAAGAACCAAGAATATTAATACATATATGCTTAAAGAGACAATGCATAAACATGATCGATTGTAATGTAGAATGTTTTTGGCTACATGCAATACACGCGACTAAATTCACAATGATATGAAGGCTATCATTGGGGGAAACAGGTACATTTGTTTTAATACCAGCAATGAGTTTAACTAAGTAGTATCATGCTTGTCAGCTATACAAAAAAAATATTATCTTCAACCGTCTCAACATAGAGCAGAAATCCAATAAACTGCAGTGTTATTCTGCAATATGGCAGACAGGAGGTTAGACTTACAATCCGTGATCAAATTAACACCGTCGTGGTGTCTATTGGATAATGGGAGGAGGAATAAACCGAACAAATTCATTCATCCGCGAAAAATTTGCCGATTACAGTGAAAGAGCGGCACGTGACGAACGGCCAAATTGATCCGGAAAACATTTGCAAACCATAGGGTTACGCAAAATGCCATATCACAATAATTTACTCGATTTTTCCAAGGAAAACAACACTTAGTCACAGGACCCATTTTCAGGAAGGTCCTGTTATGGATTGTTTTTTTATATTTTAAGAAATGTGTTCAGCCAATTAATGAGTTGCTAAACCAGCGGGAGGAAAACGGAGGGCCCGAAGAAATACAGGCGAGGGGACAACACTATATCCCCATTCACATGGAAACAGATGACAAGTCTATACTCTTAGTTCTTTCGGTAAAGTCACGTAGGTAAAAAATGAAATTAAAATTAATAAAAAAAGAAAAACAATAAAATCACGACGTTTCGGAGGCAACACAAGCTTCCGTCTTCGGGTGAAACTGTCACAGCAAGCTTGTGTTGCCTCCGAAACGTCGTGATTTTTTTAAATTAATTTTTATTTAATTTTTTACCTACGTGACTTTACCGAAAGAACTAAGAGTATGAATCCTTGCAGTCACGAAAGCTTCAAATCTAGATGACAAGTCAACTTGCTGTACTTCCTTCCGCTGGCAAATCAGCGGATCACACCTCCAAGCCCACGGAAAAGGAGTTTCACAACATTTGTGAGATCCACCAACAATCGCCTCCACAGTGTTGGATTGATTAATGTTTAACGAATATGCACGCAAATGATCCGTGCAAAAGCCTACCAGAAATTACATTTCATATCAACTAAGGATTACTATAAACCTGAAAAAGGCTGTAATAATATGCATACACGTTTTCCTAAATCATAACAGTACCTCGCGGGATTGAACCACCAATGGCATGTTGGCAAAAACCAAAACAATTATATGCCGAGCTCTGAAAATAATATAGATACTATTGTCTGAACATCACGCAAAGGGTTAACAGTTAGTAATGAATAATTAGGTATCAAAATTATTATAAATGATCATGCTAATTATAATAACTCGCACTGCTAATTATTTGCCACTCATGCTGTGTTGGAAATGAACCACATTAATTATTTTTTTAAGCCAAATAAATCTCTCAGGGTTGCAACCTTTAAGACAATGTAGCCTCTGTTATTCTTATGACTAATCAAAAATCAACACATAGCAGCACGTCCCAAAATAGAATGACAAGCTTAATTGAAGGAAAATGTTATGCAAATGTGCTAAGTTCAAAAGCAAAGCCCGTGTTAGTAAAATCAAATCCTTTCTAACACGAGCAATAGTGTTAGACAAGATACATATAAATGCTTCACTTAGGATATGTACGTTTTCCCCACAATATACTCCTAAACCCAAGGCCTAAACAGTGCACTTGACAGCAGTACAAGGACAAGGCAAATAAAGCTGCACGGAGCTCATGTTTGTGCACCCATTAACATTTCGCTAGGCAGACCAACCTTCACTATTGGGCCAGTCTGCTTCCCAACACCCACAATCTATTTGCAGGTCGCATAGCTTGTCCCTGTGCAAGCTCATTCATCACGTGGTGGCGGGAGATCCTACGCTTGGCTGCAGTGCGTAGAGCATTAAGCATCAATTTGACCGCGTGCTTCAGTGCCCGTGCGAAGTCATATTTCAAAAGAGCGTTTCGTAGGTTCCACAAGCAAATCTAGCTCCTCTCCGTATTCTGTTTGTGAGTGTAAAGAATACTGCGCACAGGAAAGTGAGAGAGCCACTCCACGACTGCCAATTCCAGGATGTTGCACAGGTATTCAAATTTATCATCAATATATATGTGGTATTGACTGGAATGTGATGCACATTCGCAGGACATAAGAAATACATTACAACTGCTTGAACACGACCGTGGACAAGCCCCACATATTACTAATTAGAGAACACATTCCTGCGGAGTGAGCTGGTAGGAACGTTGGGTTGCTCGGTCAATGGCCAGGGTCAACGGTGGCGTGGTGTATTCCGCAAATATGCCCAACTGAGGGCAGGAACAAACCGGCGTGAGTAGGTTAAACGTTGAGTTTTATAAGGGCACCACGGGGTGACCAGCCCCTCCCCACCCAGCCCCACCCCACCCAGCCCCACCCCTCCCACCCCCCACCCAGCCCCACTCTCCCCACCCAACCCCTCCACATCCCTCCCCTCCCCAATCAGCCCCTCCCTCCCCACCTAGCCCCTCCCTGCACGACGGACACAATAATCCCCTGTGGGCTGGTGCAACCAGGAGGTTCCTACCAGTATAAGATATTATATGCACCATAACAAATGCATGTATACTTAAATACAGTACACAGAGTCCTTTCAAATGCTTCGAAAGTTCTCAGGTCATTCCATTCTAATCATAACAGTTGCCCCTTGTTTGGCCATTTGCGGCCTCCATGATACATAAAAGATTTGGCAATTTAGAAATGGTGTCATCAATCTTCTCTATGTACGTCTGAACCAAAGTAGTTTAGAATTTATTTAAAAACCCCCCAAATGTATTTATTGAGTATGATGCATTGCCAAAGTCTCATTACACTATACACTGCACAAATATGTTCAATGCCAGAAAAAAATCTTCGGAAACCTTGCTGATTGCGTGAATATATATTTTACCATAACACAGAATGGCCTACTCTTTTGAACCGTGCTTTGCGTCTGCAAAATGAGATTGCATTGCCAATATCATGAGAAAGCTATCGTTAACCTCAACGTCCCCACGACCTTCTCTGCAGCAGCCTTAATAAAAAAACATTATTTTAAAGACTTGTGTATATTTGAGTCCCAAAAATTATTGCTCACTCTAGGACTGCAGACCAACAGAATTGTAGAAGCATAATGTTACTTTGACAAATTAAGTGTATCATTACACTGCATGGTTAATATCATATATAGATCATATTACTTTTCAAGTGAAATGGTTAAAAGATGCCCAAGGCCAAATGTCTATAGCTTACAAAACAATTGATATGTTGTTGCCTTTGTGGCAAGAGGCTAATTTGGCCAAGAAAATGACCAGTCACATGGCAAATGCTTCGCAAAGATAGCTTTGCCTTGCCTTTTTTCACTCCTCAATTGTATAAACAGCTGCGAACAGTGGCATGATGCCACTATTGACAGCTATTACTTTTGATAACACACCATCTCCATCACAATTACTACACAAATAATACAAATAAAACTTTAATATGCCATTGGATTAGGCCCTGCTCATGAGCCACTAACATACAGTCTGCTGTTTAAAGGATTTGTAATATATAAATGTGCATTCAATGCTTGCTGCAGAATATTTAAATTCAAAAAGGTCGTGGTCTCTCAAAACTGTAAACAGGTTGGTGCAACATGGGTTGCAAAAGAGTTAAGAGCCCACACTCCCACATCCTGAGCTTATCTTACATCAGTCTTCACCACATTTTATAGCCAATGCAGATTATTGGTGAATAAAAAATAAATAGGACTACAGCTATCATTCCATAAATTTTGAATAGTCAAATTTTTTTTTACTTGGTGAGTGAATATAGATAATTTTGTCATGCTAATTTTATTTTAATTATTGGACCACACAGATAACGCATGCAAAGCCACTTCTCTGGACATGCCACGACTTCTAGATGCAATGCTTATAACTTGGTCAATAAGCAGACCTGGCGGAAAAATAAATTAATCGGCGTATTGGTACAGATAGAGTACTGCAAGATTCAAAGGAAGCGAGATTTTTGCCACTCTCTCAAAAGAGCCAGATTAGAAATAGCAGCACCATGGCCCTGAATTGAAAATATTTACAAAAAAATGTCAAAGAAGAATGACGTTTTGAAGTGAATTCAACAAACAACACCACGCAAAACTAATTTGCAGCAACACATCCACACAAATCATATGCAGAATTATCCGAAATATATGAAGAAAAAAACGGATAAATCAACCGAAAATAGCAAGAGTTAACTGGGATATTCATACCTCAGAAGTTAACAATGGGTACATTTTTGGAAGGGAGCAAATCACCGGAATTTCAAGTGGTTACAATAAATTAACCCTTTCTTGTTCAGAGACGTCTGCAAGTTGCAGGGTGGCGGCTCCCGTTTACCGCTGAATCTCAGAACGCACAAGCGGTTCAGCGTTAATTTTTTATTTAGAGAGGCATGTCACCGTTTGTGTTTAAAGACATCGTACTCACTGCGGAAAACCGTAGCGACGCAACCGCACTCTACGATAGCTGGCGCCAAACTACCTACGCCATACGCCTTTCCCGCATGGCCTTGTGGGAGCCTTGGTCCCAAAAAAGTTAATTTATTTTTGCCGATGACGTACAGGTACGTCAGGTACGTCATCGGAACAGAAAAAGGTTGAGCACAGGACGCGCATTTGAATAATGCATGCGTGTTGGGATGTACCAATGACGTAGAAACAGAACTGTCAAAAAAGAGACGCACAGCAGTCAGTGACCTTACCGCACTGGAGGGTTCCTTCTGCACCAGGGGGCTGTCTCTTGCCAGGGCCACTATGACGTTGCTCTTCTCTCCAGCCCAGTGGACCACCATCTGGTTGTGGTTGTCATTAAGCGGTGCCTAAACACAGACACATTCATAAGCAACACCAAAAAACGAAAGCAACTTTATGTAAGCGTAAATATTCAACTGTAAACTTCCCCCGTGTCTGCTCCCCGACTTACCACGATTTTATTCAAGAAACAGGTATTTTTTGTCAAGTATTTAACGTGTTACATCTCATTTGTATTGTCCCTCTTTATCGCTGTCCGATTTGCAGTTTTGTCCCCCCAATTTATTAGCCTAAATGGAACAGGAGCATATCATTTGCATATAAAGTTGATAAATTATCAATAATATATTATAGCATGCATGTAATGCGAGTAAGCATTGCTCATACATGTCGAGTATAATGTAGTCATGTACTGCATGCGCATATAAAACCAGTCGTGATTTTAACCAAGACCAGCTTATTACAAATCGAGTTGCGCCATTATTAAATTACTGAAACATTTTGCAATCTGTTGGAATAGGGAGAAACATACAAAATAAAATGGCAATACCACTTCCTTGTAAAAAATAAACCATAATGTAGAATGTGTTTTAAAACAGGGGGGGGGGGGGGTTTGCTGCTTCAAACACAAGAGAATGTTACGACATTCGTAAAACAAAGCTAGAATATTACATTTCCAATACACTTATTTGAAGTAAGATTCTTAACGTTAAACCACCAAAAACAATGAGTCAGGGACAACGTGATATCGTGCAGTGTTGTGTAATAACCTCTGCCTTATTCGGGGCTTTCCAGCCTAGCAATGTCAAACAAGGCATGGCTGCTGTAAAATTGTAAAAAACGAACAAGATACCAAGACACATGCTATTATCAGGTTTCACGCAACGACTGTTTTCCATATTCTACCGATAAACCAAATCACAGACGCTAAGGCTTGAGTCTCGTACTGCGCTTGTATATGGGCGACGATGATGCATAAAACATGGGTTGTGAGCAGCGGGACAGTAGTGCAAAAAAGCCCATTGTTGTATTGTACTATTCCTCCACGCCTGTGCTCCCCACATTCACCAACCTGGTCAAATAACTCTTATAACCTGCACGGTGTAGGAAGACCCTAATCGAGTAGTGGATGGAAAACAGACCTCTTAGTTTCAAGATATGCAGCACACATATGGTCAAGTGTTATTTGGGTTCATACTTTAAATAATGACTCATCAGAATTGTAATAAAGTGGATGGTGCCCGGATAGAGTGGTTGGTGATTTGAAGTACAGTATTAGGAAATCTTAACAATGAGGGTCAAAGCATCAACGTGTTTTCAAAACAATGTCACATATTTTCCATTCGTGTATAGAGATGTTCAAAGCACAAACAGTAAAGGTCTAAACAGTAACTCCATAAACAATAAACTATCCAAGGTGGCCATTTCAGGTTTTGTTTTAAAATAATAAAGTCGACAGTAAAGTGCATCATGGGACCTCCTTTGTCAGTACCAAAGCACTGACAATATATGCAATGTATGTTTTTTGTTTGCATTCTGACCACAAGTATTGTGGTTAATGCAGACATGATTCCTTGTAAAAGGTCTCAGTTTGGTGCTTTAACATCTTAACACCTTTTTTGTTGCCAGAAAACAGGGGGGAACCTATTCTCACAGTAAAGTGCATGTTTACTTTACAAATGAATAGTTAAATGGCTTAAAAAAATAACAAGTTACCGTGAAAACATTTACCTAATGCATTCAAATAACAAAAACCTATACGATCTCCACATTACATAACACGTGGAGTCTAAAAAAGGCATGTTAAAAACACAAGGCTCATTGACAATCCCAATCGATAATAAATGTAACAAAAAAAACGCCTCTTTTCTTACACTATCACAATAGCACATGTTTTCCCCAAATGTGGTTATGAGTCACAAAAACGCGTTCACCGATATTGAAGTCTCAGTGCAATGCGGTCTTCTAATCGCAACAGATAAGGGCCGATAAGATTTCCTTCCATTGGGATGTATTTTTAAAACGTCCAGTTTATAAATCTCAATGTCTGGGGATCAAATTTGAGAAAATTATATTTAAGTGTAATGCTGAAACTGGTGAGACGACAAATTATAATTTATATACTGCACTGCACAGTAATACAATTTACTGCGGTAGATTAGACAATGAATGCACTTGCTGTACCTAGCATACAGTTGTTTCAAATATTTCAAGTTAGTAAGCGAATTACTTTTACTTTATCATAAAAAATGTATGCAGTATTGTCCGTCATCGTGAAACTTTAAATATAAATTGAAGGCAACATGATTTTATTTGAATTCTAAAGTGGCTCCAATGGACACCACTAATCACTCATGAAATTGCATCATCCATATTCGTTGAGGGACGTGATACTCACAAGCTTTCAAAGTATACACAGACAGCTGCAATAGATAAACTCAAATGTAATTGGAGGCAACGATTAGAAGCTAGAATTGCAATGGGGGAGGCACTGATAAAACACGTTTTAAGTTGATTACAACGGTATTAATTCTAGATTTTAAGCTTTCGTGACTGCAATGATTCATATTCTTAGGTTTTTTCGGTAAAGTCACGTAGGCAAAAAATAAAAATTATAAAAGTAAAATAAAAATAAAAATCACGACGTTTCAGGAGGCAACACAAGCTTCCGTCTTCAGGTGGAACCGTCACAGCACGATAGCTGTACCTAAGAATTTGATTACAACGCTTCAGCAATCTCCAGGAAACGCTGACAATTGATGCTCTGAATTTACAAATTATGCTCGTTCGTTCCGTTTCTCAGTCTGCTTGTCCTCGTGAGGGTCGCGGCGGCAGCAGCAGCAGCGTTGAGAAGGGCAGGTCCAGACACATTATGCCCGCCAGCAATTTTCATCCATGTAAATGTTTTATTTTACTGTTCAAGCAAATACAATTGCAGAAAATAAACACTCGGGAGATGTTAGTGAACGTTATTTTCCACCACTTTGTTAACAAACTACTGTGTGTGTGTGTAAGTGGACTGTACGACACGTTTTACTGCATACATTTGCTAAACCTGCCTGACAGAATAAATTATGAATATAACTCATGAGGGCATCAAAATGGTGATAACACAAAGGAAAAACTAAATGCATTTGGAGACATGGTTTATTGTAGCAATTCTAGATTTGAAGCTTTCATGACTGCAAGGATTCATATTCTTAGGTTTTTTCGGTAAAGTCACGTAGGTAAAAACATTTAATTAATAAAAGTAAAATAAAAAATAAAATAAAAATCACAATCTGGAATTCCTCCCCGTAGAGGGTATTAATTCTAGATTTGAAGCTTTCGTGACTGCAAGGATTCATATTCTTAGGTTTTTTTCGGTAAAGTCACGTTTTATTATTGTAGCAAGTTATAAAATGCTGGGCAACACTATAATAGTGAACCTCTGTAAGGGGAGCATAAAGAATAGAATAACGAGAAGCACTGCTCCATTCACACGAGTTAGGTAAAATGTACCTCCCCTCAAGACACAAAATCAAAATAGGACAGACCTCCAGGGAGCATGTTTGTTGCTCGCGAAAGGGCACAGCAAATTACTACGGCAATAAGGATGCGTCACAAACTGAACATGAAATTACAGTTCTAGATTTGAAGGTTTCGTGACTGCAAGGATTCATATTCTTAGGTTTTTTCGGTAAAGTCACGTAGGTAAAAAATTTAAATTAATGAAAGTAAAATTAATATAAAATAAAAATCACGACGTTTCGGAGGCAACACAAGCCTCCGTCTTCAGGTGGAACCTAAGAATATTAAATTACAGGTCTCGACGACAGCTTTAACGACGCGAATATCATCAGACAGATTGACAGAAACGCACCATTGTTACTGTTTTATGTGTAGACTACTAAATGGATGTATATGCACATGTACAGCCCTTTTGTCAATCCACTGCTGGATGAGGGACTCCCCCATGCCATGGGGGTTATTTGACCATACTTCACCACTCTGGCCAATGAGGGTTGGTGACGGTTGGCATTATAGAAAGTACAGTACCATGGATTTTGCTTCAATGTCCTCTGCAGAAAATCTCACTTCTGAGTAATACCGTAAAATTTTATTCTATTTCATGCCCAGTACACAATGTACGCTGGTCAACAGTTAACAATGGTCGGTGGCAGTGATTGTCACCACACCACGATCAACGGCTCCTGCGGGATTCTGAAGTACTGCCAAGTTGATACTCAACGCTCATTAGTCCCTCATTGTATTCCGCGACCTGGTGGCTTCAGGTCTTCCTCTTGGTCACCTACCTGTGATGGCTGCTACTTCCCTACACCTGTTTGTAGCTGGTACTCCTGCCTGGACACGTTCACCACCCACTCAAATCTCTCAATCCTCACCGTAAAACACTTTCTTGCCTCACTCTATTTTCAACTTCCAAGTTATTTGCACTATCCGACAATAAAAGTCCTACAATCATCTGCACACACCTATATTATACAGCCAAACGCATGTTTTCTTTTCGTTTTTTTTGGTTAAAGTTCAATCCCCTAAACCGGCGTTCTTCATTGCAAGGCCCAGGGGCCACTGGCGGTCCCTGGTGGCCTTTAGTGCGACACCCGACGTGTAGCCCCTGACAATACACAAATGGTGACAACACCCATTTGCAGGCGGTGAGGCGGCCCTCACACTGATGTCGTCTTCTTCTTGGTTCTTTAGGTAAAGTCACGTAGAATGGAAGAACAGGTCTGTCAGAAAGACCTGTTCTTCACCTGAGGACGGCTGCTTGCGTTGTGGCCGAAACGTCGTGAGAATTATTTTATTATGTTTTATTTTTATTATTTCCATTCTACGTGACTTTACCGAAAGAACCAAGAAGATGAATCCCTGCAGTCACGAAAGCTTTAAATCGAAATTTGATGTCGTCTTATCCGCGAAAGTGCCCCCCCCCCTCCCCTCTGAAATGTAGTGGAGAACAGTGGTTTAAACCATCTTCTCTATAGCTGTCACAGCACTGCTGAAGAACGGCCTACTCACACCTTGTGGGTCCATGGCGGTTATTTGACCATGCTTCACCTTGCTTGTCAGGGCAAGTTGGTGAACATAGGGAGCACAGATGTGGACTTTGGATTTTGCTGCAGTGCCCATCCAAGTAATATCCAAGCTCAATGCTGTTTAGATTCCAAAACCTAGGCTGACCGATTGTATTCTGGTTGATTTGGTCATGAGCAGATAGGTGTATACTGTACAGCTTATCCAAAATATGCACATTTAAAATATTTGCAAAAATAATCAAAAGCACAAGCCCAGGGTCAAAACAGGAGTCATTTGTGCTGATTTTTAAAACAAATACAATCATCAATACGGCTTAGTCAAACATCACTTTAAACATACAATACAAAGATCACCCATATAGTCTGAACAGACTTTGGGGCAAGTGCTGTTAACGAGCACCTATGAAGGCCGGCACACGAGGGGGTGGGTGGCCAACACCACGCCCGACCGCCGTTGTCTCCCCAGTGGCGATGTTTACACACCGCACCAGGTACTCATTTGAGGCTGAGCCTACCTCGGGGAGGCCCATGACCGGTTCAGATAATCGTCACTGGTGTTGGCCGTGAGCGGGAATCCAACTGGCCGGGTTCGTTGTGCAGCACAGTTTCGACAAACATATACAGTATAAAGTCGAAACCGAGGGTCAGTATTTATTCATGTGTATAAACATACCGTAGTTGTAGAACAAGAAATAATAATTATATACAGTTTAAACTTACAGACGACCATAACCCATTGGTGTACATTCTAATGATGGTCTATAAGGGCTTATAAATGCTGAAATTTGGCACATTGTTGAACACATGGACGTTATTAGAAAAGTGCAAAAGTGTAGGCATTTAAATTTTAACCCACAAAAATTATGGCTCCGAGGTTCACTGATAATACCTACTTATACGGCAAAGCCACCCTAAGTTAAAAATGCTTGAAGTGTCATGCTAAACACTTAAATATACAATCTCCATCAGCAATCAACCAAGTCATTTACATGCCATGGAGTGTAAAATGTCAATCGACAGAGGGTGGTAAAGCCAAAATTAAATATACAATACAGCATATGGTGATTTGTACAGTACACAATCACAATGGTCATCGTTAACTGACCTTCCTGCACCAAGTGGTGAAAATGTAGTGTTACTATGACACCGACCTGACTTAACCCTGACTGTGCTTAATACATATAACGACAGAACTGCTGATTTATTTCAGAGGTTTAAAAAACACGATTAAATTAAATGCAAGCAACCGGTTGACTTCACTGCACCAAATGGTACGGGGCCAAATCAAACAGTGCCAAAAATCCGCCCACATTGTTGGTTATAATGATCAGCTGACACAAGCGGGAGAACTGCACTCACGTCTGAATGACTCACGTCTTAAACGACAAACTTATAATAACTAGACTCTCTGCTGCTCCACTAGTACCACATAACGATCTCGAGTGTATCTTACAAGAATAATGTTCACATCGCTTACGGACAATTCACCCAGAATGCGCTCAATTTTGTCTCATCTCGGAAGCTAAGCAGGTATGAGTCTAATTATTTCATTGATGGGTTGACCACCATGCACAATACAGGTGTTATATATATATATAGGCTCCTGGGGGGCCAAGCTGTGTATAACGGCGCAGAACATTATATGACCGGGCCGTACTTGCATTGCCAAGAGGGCTGAACGATTAATCGATTTAAAATCGAAATCGCAATTTGAAACAATGCGATTAGCAAATCGCAAAGGCTGCGATTTTTTGCGATTTGAAATGTCCTATTATTTTGTTATTGGAATTGTTTTATTACTTATTATAATAACTTTCTTTATTTAACTTAACAATTATTATGTTTGATTGTTATATTTCAATTACATTTTGGAAGCAACTAATATCTTTTAAGTTATCATCCTTGCATTAGAATATATAGAGCAGTTCATATTTTGATGGTATCATGTGGTAATGCTCCATCACGTTTTAAATCTATTACACAGTGAATATTGAACCGAAGCTTGACTTACAAAAATGTAATCGCAAATCAAATGGCAATATCTGTCAGAAAAATCGCAATTAGATATATCATTCCCCAAATCGTTCAGCCCTAGTTGCCAACCTGGGTTCCTCAACCCGCACGAAGCAGCATGGTTGCAGTATGTTGACATAACCTCCAAGAGGACGTCATATTTAATTGGAGGGCCCTTGTCCAGTCAGCAGCACAGGTATTCGACAATAGTAGCATGGGTGCAGTATCATCTGCCGCAGCGATGAGTATGCCCATTTTCAGTTTCCAGTTTCATTCATTTGGAATAACCCTGTGAGCCATTCGGCCCTTGATTCGGGTGCAACCGCAACAAACAATACAATTACAAGAAACATTTAAAATTTACTGTACGCAAATTGAGACATCCCCTACAAAAACAATACAAAATCTTCCAGAAAAAGCACCATTTGTTTTTGTAACAATCACCGCTCGACTTCCCAAAGTGATGAATTCTCGTTATTTTTGACGGACTCCAGATGAGTGGCGGATTGTTCGTCTGGTAGGAATTCAAACTGATTCCACTTAATACAGAAACACCCTCACGTTGCCCAGTGAATGTGCCCTCGCGGCTCAAAACATGTCTAACCACTCTTGAGGGGAGGCCAATAATGTGTGTCCATTGGCCAGTCAGTCTGGTCCTATCTATTGGGCAGCAGTTTGTTTAAATAAGACACCTTGATTGGGGGTTTTCATAATACTGTAATTGCAAGCACATGGACACCCCCAAAGGAGACATCTGATAGAGACAGAACAAACGAAATGGCACACACACACACAACGTCGCAGACACACTCCACAAATAGTGCAGATGAGGCGGTCGAAACGAGACTGAATACAATGACGTGAGAGAGACTGTACACGAGACAAACAGCTCGTATTAACGAGATGGGCGGTACAGATAACAACATACAGCAGGTACAAGCGTGGCAGGTTAAAACCCGACACACGAACGACACGTGAGACGTATAAAACATATACATGTATAACCTTTGGTTGCAGTAGCTCTCTCGCTACATTTCCTCCTCGGCAGTCAGCCTGCTGTGTTGTTTCACCTGAAGACGGTGGCTTGTGTTGTTATCGAAACGTCGTGATTTATTCGTATTTTTTTCTATCTACGTGACTTTCCCGAAAGAACCAAAGAGTATCAATTACTGGCTGGAATCTTGATCCGGAATCGTTATAAATTAATCGAATTACGCGAGAATGTGAATTACTCCACGTCCAACCTACTGCACAAGGAAATTAGTGAATAATAGGATTACAGATCCTACTCAGAGTACTCAAGGAGCTAAATGTGAACAATTGCCAACCTACTAAAATGCACGACTCAAACAAGGTTGAATATGCATAATTAAATTCGTCATTTTGGACCTACCAGAGCATACACGACGAGGTGAATATAAATATTTGTAACATTAAATAACCACCATCGTCGTCGTCGTAATTTAATACACCTACTACGATACACTGACCACACACAAGGATAACGTAAATTATATAGGTCTTACCTAGTTGAATACTTGCATGAGGTGCTAAATGAAAAGCATGGGTCATGCTGTACCTTATTACAATACAGAACACAATTTATATACGTAAAAAATAATAATGTATACTTGGTACGGATAAATACTCCACACAAAAAAAAAAATCACTATTAATATTAAATTATTTATTATTATTTTATTATTACTTATTTTTACCTACGTGACTTTGCCGAAAAAAAACCATCAGAGTATGAATCCTTGCAGTCACGAAAGCTTCAAATCTAGAATTAATACTCCACACAAGTTGAATTAAAAACCGTACAGATTTTACCGACTAGAGAACACTCCTCACACTTGGAGGTCAATGCAAATAATAAAAAATGTAACCGTAATAAACATTGTATACTGTGATTAAGGATTGATGTTACATGCAAATAACGCGCTGGGCGAGTGGTGGTGCAGTGGCAGACACACGCAATGCGAGGTGTGGTGGACTATAATATACTGTAGAGGCAAATGTGTAATGTTGAGTGGTAGTAATCGTTACATCTGTGTACCTACATCAGTATACTTCTCACACGAAATGCCGAAGTGTTAATAATTACACGTCTCACGAATAACACAATTCGCGCACCATGACGCGAATAGAAATAATTACATTTGCCAGTCAAAACAAGGCGATGTGAAACCCAATGATTGTAACACAGCAAGTGATCTACACACACCACGATTCTTACACAAGCTGTAGGAGGATGATGATGAGGATGAGGCGATGGTGGTGGTGACTAAAACCCAAATAACCGCAACAAACAACACAAATGTCACGAAGATTATTCTAGATTTGAAGCTTTCGTGACTGCAAGGATTCATACTCTTAGGTTTTTTCGGTAAAGTCACGTAGGTAGAAAAATAAATAATAAAAATAATAGAAAAAAATAACAGAAATAAAATAATAAATCTACGTTTGTAGATAGCTTATTTGACTTCACCGAAAGACCCCAACCAAATATTAATTCCTGCATTCACGAACCCTTTAAATCAAGATCAAAACAACACAAGTCATGCTCGCTTGGCCCACACACCCCCCCACCACCACTCCACTCACACTCACGGGGTTTGTTGTGTAGCAACACTACGTCTCTCACGTACCGTCACCACGGAGGGTTTGAGCTCCCTACGATGTCGGGAACGAGGCTGCGGACCAGACCACCCCGACCCGGACCCCTGCGGCTGCTGCTGCTGCTGCTCCTCCTCCTGCCCGGGCTGCCCCGGGGTGCGCGACACCACCAAGAAGCCACGGTCCTGGGGATCCGCCGCGAAGTGTGCGGCTCCGTGGAGGGTGTCGGTTCTAAAGTGGCTCCGACGAGCTTCGACGAAGGAGATGAGGAAGAAGAGGAGCGAGAATGTGCGGGGAAGAAAACGCCGAGTGCGGAAGACGCGCACCTGCGCCGCCATCTTCAGCCGAGCTGCGCCGTTGAGTGAGGAGGGGGGGGGGGGGTGAACGAGCCACGCCCCCGGTTTGTATTTCATAGAGCGCTTCGGGCGGGCTCAGCACCACGTGACGGGCCGCCCCAAGCAGATGCGCCGCGTGCTTGTCAGTTGTACGGAATGTGATGGCAAGGCGTGCCCGGTGTTGCGAGGTTGGACGCGAAAGCCGGGATGGATTGTTGGCGGTGTTGCTGTGGCGGGCCGGGTTTGCGTGTTACGTTGTGGAACTGGACTCGTTGGGGCAGAGGAAGGGGTCTGGTTAATTCTAGATTTGAAGCTTTCGTGACTGCAAGGGTTCATACTCTTAGTTTTTTTGGGGGTAAAGTCACGTAGGTAAAAATAAAAATAATAACAATAGAAATAAAATAATAAATCTCTTATTTATTTGAAAAAAATGAAATAAAATAGTAAATCACTTACTTAGTATTTTATGTATTTTAATATTTATATTATTTATTTTTATTTTTACCTACGTGACTTTACCGAAAAAACCTAAGAGTAAGGCTCTGGTTAAACAACAACAACAAAACTTGCGCGGAAGCAACACGTGAAATACTCCGAGCGTGACGCAAAACCCGGACTAGATTTCACGATTTCGTTGTCCATCACTTGCTTTAAATTACGGAATGGATCATAAACATGGTCATTAAATATGGGGAGAGAAAAAAAACGCGGAATAGCGTGGAGAATTGCATAACGCTTAGAATTACACCGATAAATGGAAAGGAGGAACACTTTGATTAGAGAATATGCGCCGGTTAAAGACATACAATTGAAATTGTAATCAAAGGTGGCCTTTTTGATTTAAAGCTTTCGTGACTGCAGGAATTCATATTCTTGGTTCTTTTGGTAAAGTCACGTAGAAGGGAAATAATAAAATAATACAAATACAAAACAATAAAAATGCTCACGGCGTTTCGACTGCAACACAAGCAATCATCATCAGGTGTGAAATCCACAGCAAGAAAATTTGATTTCACACCTGATGACGATTGCTTGTGTTGCAGTCGAAACGTCGTGAGAATTGTTATTGTTTTTTTAGTATTATTTTATTATTTCCCTTCTACGTGACTTTACCGAAAGAACCAAGAATATAAAGGTGGCCTTGTGACAGAACATGCCACTCGAAGAGACGATGGGCGAGATCGTCAAGAAAACACGACGGGGCAGCAGCATCCACGGAATTGAACACCGCTGCACAGCGGACGTCCAACCGTGGAGATGGAGCGATGCAATCAGCGAGCTCGTTTTGCAAATGCGATGTGAATTGTCGAATCGCGGGAGTCGTGAGATCGTGGCGGTGTTGGCATGGGGAAGCCGTCATTACCCAGCAGTGGACTGACCATGGCTGATGATGACGACGACATGGATGTGTTTTACATTAGAGACATACGACACGTCAATGAGGATTACCTGTAGGCTGACAGGAGGTACAAGAACAATGAACAATGTGCATGCGTAATGAACGTCGATTACCATATGAATAACTCAACTGGGTAATGATTACCCATTGCAATGTATATGCATTCATTAATCTCCCCCCGCCCCCCTTCGCACGTGAAGGGCTCACAATCGATGCCATCACAACCACCCCTCTATTTAAGGAACTAAACAGGAGGAGGATTTCACCACACATCTGTCTGTCCGCCTGATGATGCTGGTTGTAATTACTGGCGAAACGTCGTACGGCAGATTGTAAATGTTGTGGCTTTGCTCTCCAACACACCGGTGGTGCTGAACTAGCAACGAATTGGCCACGTTCTGTTTACGTGACAAACCTCACTAATTGGCTGCGTCGGGTGGTGGTGGGTTTACCGACACAATTATAAACTTGATTAGAAGCTTTCGTGACTGCATGAATTACTCTTTGGTTATTTCGGTAAAGTCACGTAGAAAGAGAAAATAATAGATTAAATAACAGCATACGACGTTTCGTTTGCAACACAAGCAATCATCATTAGGTACAAATGAAGAGAAAACAAAACCTAGTAAACTTAGAAAAATAATGTAATACAACACAGATAGTCGGCTAACATAACAGTCAACACCCCACCTGGTTGATTACGTTCTTCCAAAGATTGCTACATTTAAAAGAGAGATAAAACACAGAACCGGAGACACATAGACAGACACATAAGCAGAGAGAGATAACACAGAGACACACAGAGAGAGACACACACATAGGCACACAGATAAACAACGCATCTGTGTCGACACAGGCATTGTTTCTCTGATTGCTTGTGTTGCAATCGAAACGTCGTATGCTATTATTTAATTTATTATTTTCTCGTTCTACGTGACTTTACCGAAAGAACCAAAGAGTGACACAATTCCCCCTATCTCTGCCCCCCTCTCTCTCCCCCCTGTATCTCCCCTCTCCCTGTCTCTGCACCCTCTCTCTCTCCCTACCTCTACCCCCTCTCTCTCCCCCTTTGTCTTCTCCTACATCAGCATTATCTGGCCCGCCCATGCTGCTGACACACTTGGACTGCGCCACTCAGCGCTGGCTCCACGGCCCTTGTGCCCCGTCCACTCGCAGCTTTGCCTCGTCCATTCATACTGCTCCACAGCTATTGTCCCTCACTTCTTATGACACTTGGGCTATGCCCATTTTTAATCTTTATAAACAGTTGCAGTTTGAGGCTTGCCCCCCTTTTCTCTTCGCCTGATGATGCCCGCTTGTATTGCGATCGAAACGTCGTGAATAAACATTTTTTTTACTTTATTTAAACAATTTTTTTATTACTTTTATTATTTTAAGTTTATTTTCTATCTACGTGACTTTACGGAAAAAACCAAAGAATATGAATTCCTGCAGTCACGAAAGTTTTACGTCTAAATAGTCGTCAATACATCCAGGACATGTAAGAGGCGACGTTTTGGGCAATGGCCGTTCTTTGTCAGCAGAGGGCAGTGTAGGAAATTGCATTGGGCAAATCCATTGCTGAAATGCAAGTGGTGTTAATTCTAGATTTGAAGCTTTCGTGACTGCAAGGATTCATATTCTTAGGTTTTTTCGGTAAAGTCACGTAGGTAAAAAATATAAATTAATAAAAGTAAAATTAAAATAAAATAAAAAGTCACGACGTTTCGGAGGCAATACGGAAGCTTGTGTTGCCTCCGAAACGTCGTGATTTTTATTTTTTATTTTATTTTTATTTTACTTTTATTAATTTAATTTTTTGCAAGTGGTGTGACCAAGCCACATTCTGGAACTGGTCGGTGTCTGCTGTGAACAGATTGTTCCTCGCTTTCACCATGCTCATCGAAACTGGTGTCCAGCGTCAACAGAACACTGGCACGGCAAATGCTGATTGAGCTCTCTGCTTCCTGCCTATGACACTGTTTGGTAATCATGGCCTGCTGCTGAATTTGGCCAAAAACCGTGATATTGATGTTCTGCTGTAAAACTAATGGACCGCGATGTTCAGCAACCGTGCTTTCAGAGTTACACCTCATGGGGGGTAAACACAGCCGCTAGAGAATTATGAACAATTACCTTCCTCAGGGCTCGGTACTAGCACCCTCGCGAACATATATATGTCCATAATCCAGGTTTTTTGGTTAGATTGCGTAAATATAAACGTGTCGTGAAACCCGCCACCGCCGACACAGCCAATTCGTAAGGTTTATCACGTAAAACAAAACGTACCAATTCGCTAATAATTCAGCACACCGGTGTGTTGGAGAGCAAAGCCACAACATTTACACTCTGAGTACGACGTTTCGCCAGTAATTACAACCGGCATCAGAGTGAACCCACAAATTGTATTGTCAAACGTATATATATCTAAAACAAGTGACCTGCCATGTATATCGTACAAAATATACATAAACAGATGACATAGACCTTGCTTTACAGGGCACAAACCTGGAGAACATTGCCAATACTCTATGAGACCTCCTTTACCAGTGGTAAAATATAGTAATAGGTTTTTACCCTTTCAACTGGTACAAAAACTGACACCTTTATACAAGGCATCATGTTTGCAATAACCACAACACAAGCAGTCAAAATGCAAACAAAAAGAAACAACTCTGATGATGATAATGATATGCACTGTCTTTGAAGTTGATTGGTCCACACCCGAGACAGCTTTTCTTAGAGCCTAGTCTCCATTGGTGTTGGACCAGATGACTAGGCTCTAAGAAAAGCTCTCTCGGGTGTGGACCAATCAACTTCAAGGAACAGTGCATATCATTATCATCATCAGAGTTGTTTCTTTTTGTTTGCATTTTGACTGCTTGTGTTGTGGTTATTGCAAACATGATGCCTTGTATAAAGGTGTCAGTTTTTGTACCAATTGAAAGGGTAAAAACCTATTACTATTGCCAATACTCATCAAATTTGCTTCAATTAGAATTTAGAGGCCACAGGTGGAAGCTGCTAAATGTATGAACGTTCAAGTTCAATACCAAGGCTAGAAAGCAATGTTTTACACAGTGGTGGCAGGCTGGAACCGGTTGCCCGCACAACCTGTGGTGGAAGCTGATTGAATGATACCCCTTCAAGAAACGCCTCGATGACATTCCTGCAATCAATCTGCTACTGGCAACCGATCGAGATAGATGGGCCAAAAACGACGCCTCTCTTATCAGAAGGGCTGCAAGTTATTCAAGGCACAGGTAACCCTCAATTTACGAAGACAGGGCGTCAAACGAAATTTTGTCAATGGGAATGACTATTCCCATCAATTTAATACAACAACAAAAATTCCAACTCTTAGTCCTGAACTAAAATATACATTTATATCACTCTTCACAATACAAAAATGAAAATAAAGAGCAGATATATTTCAACGATTGAATAATAATGAATTTAAAACTAAAAATAACTAACCTTTTCAGGGAACTCGCCAAAAGATATGCATCGCGTCGGAATGAATGTAAAGGTGATGTGGAGGCGTTAATGTTGCACTGTAGGGACACTGTGACACTGTCGTGGATGTATGGATGATGCAGCCTCCTGGGTGCTTCTTATTTGATCTCATCGTGCGTG